AATTGCCAATCGTCGAAGGTACTGGCCGAACGTTTTATACGTTACTAATAAACAACTTTCAGTGCAAAATGCCATCTTCCAAAAAGAATAACTAACAAAAAAAATGAAATTTACCATTTGACATTGTATATTGAAAGAAAATGAAATAAAGCTGGCAGTTTTATAAACAACTTTTGACGCAAATCTATATATTATTTATTAAATAATTAAATTTACAGACATTACGTGACAGTTCTAGGTTCCATGTTTAATGCAGATATTGAAACAAAGACTAAATTCCTTTTTGAAGCTTAAAGTGCCATTAGTCCAAGGTACTGTCCGTACTTTTTACGAAAATTTACGTTCCCAATGCAAACGGAGTACCTACAAATTGATGCACCGGGCGGTCCGGAATTAAAAATAATATTTATCATTAAGTGCTGATGTTGCTGATATTTAAGTGATAAATTAATGCAATTCCAAAAGGACATCATTATGTGCAATTTGTTTCGAGAAATTTTCAATACGACATCGTCAAATAATTATTATCAATAATTTCTGGAAATTTTGAAGGTTGAGTAAAGTAGACAGGAGAAAATGAATCAAAGTCTAAACGGATGATGACGAATGAGAAGACGGTTCTCGAATAAAAACTATATAAGAAAAGCGGGACATTGAAAAGGGTGAAATGTACTTTCCACATCGGCTATACACTTGTTCACGGCCACCAATTCTATTTTGTCTGTTCAAAAGGGAGAAATTGCCATTTTACGACAGAACAACAAATTCCTTTTTTTAGTACAAGAGTTACACAATTTGACAACCATTATTGGTTTAATTACAACCTTTTGACCTGTTTCTGTTTAGAATAATTATTCCAGTTAAAACGAATTCATCCCCTTTTGTAATCGGATTAACCTGTAACGAGATAAACCTACAGCGGCTACCCAAACAATTAGTGTTTTCAAGTCAAATTAAATGTATTTCCTTTTAAATAAACTGAGACTCACCAAACAAAATACCCTTTCCCAAACAAATGAAACAATTTTTAAATAAATCACACCTTTGTTACATACAACTTATAGTAAACAAGTGATGGACAAATATGACAAACAGGAGGGTAATCCTTAAGGACTTTCATACTTACATTAATTATATATTGAATAAATAATTCTGTGCTGTTAGGCTGGACCAATCATCCAAATTACAGAGCAACCTTAAAATTAGACACTGCTGATGCGCGGACTTAGTTAGCGCCTGATTATGCAAGGTTCGGATTAAGTCCCTGAGTGCCCTTTAGAACTAGATTCTAGGATAGACTTGGTTACTAGGTACTAAGGATGCAAATCGCCTTAATCTCTATGAATACAGAGCATAATTTAGCTCTAGATAAATTTATTTAACAAATTAGCATTTCTGTTAAAACTATATCCTGAGATATATTAATGTTCTCTATTGAATCTTTTTGCAATCTTAAAAACAATAATGGTAATAAAATCACCAGTTTAAACTAGTTTCTCATCCGATTGAAAACCAAGCACCAAGTGATACAAGTGGTCAGTGTTTATTCCTTCAATGTACTTTTCAAAATTGAATATTGATTAAAGAAACTTCTGGTGCCTCTGCAGCTTTAAGAACTTCATGCTAATGAGGCCAACTATCAAGGCATTTCCTGTATTGATTGTGTGGCTAAGATGTTTTATACGCTCCTCGTATGGAAGCCTTGTCTCTGGAAATAAATCGTTAAGTGATTTTCACATGGGTTTTCGTAAGGGTTACTATGGATAATGTATTTTTTCTCACTAATATAATTTACTTAAGGACACAGAGAAAAAACCAAAAGGTATACTGCTTCTTCGTACATTTATATATTATTTATATTTATAAGCAGGCTTTGGACTCAATTGATTCTGAGACATTGAATCTAAAATTGGCCAATTTGGGCTTTTCGTCAAAGATTTTAAATGTTCTTAGAACTATGTTTTCGTGTAATGTGGCGGTTATCAGGGCGGGAAATTGGTTACAGAATTTTTCGACATTCAATGTAGAGTTAGTCAAGGTGCTTAGTTCTTTACGTTTCGCTCTCTTTTCGGATGGTCTTTCTTAACACTTGAGTGTGGGATACGAATTGGTAAGGTCCTCTTGTATGCTGAGGATGTAGTTTTAGTAGGAAGAGGACCCTGTTGCATTGCAACATAATATTCATTTGTTGGTGAGATTCTTGACCAGTGGAATCTCTTAATAAACCTTTCAAAGTCAAAATCATCGTTTCCGCAAAGATGGTAGTTTCCTCTAGTATACGTATTCCAAAGGTCAGGAGATTGAAGTGGTTAATTCTTACAAGTACTTGGATCTGACACCCCAAGTTATCTTTTAATTCCTATCTAGTAATAAGGATAGATAATAATAATAATAACATGAGATAAGGCCACATGTCGCAACCCTGCGGAAACTTAAGGACTTAGGATATGAAACCTTACCGCACCCTCCTTATTCACCTCTCGCTAAAAGATTTCCACTTTTTCAGGCATTTTCATCACTTCTTGACGGGGAAATTTTTTTATGTGAGCGGAAGAAAAGTCTTATTATTTGTTGATAAAGAAAAATAAATTGTGATGAAAAACAATTCGAACAAATTTTCTTTGTTTTATAAAAATTAAAAATAGTTTTGACTGCCTTTTCAAAACCTGCATTATTTTTGCACCAGTCCAATATTAACGTCCCGAATAACCAAGACAACGATGATGGACCATTCGGCAAATGTTCTTAAACTAGTAAACATCCTACACCTAACATACCAATCATGGTGCATCGAGCAAATACTTCTATCAACGCCTGAACCAACTAATGATGCTACACTATTAAAATGACATATAGTTGATAAGTTCATCCGAATATAAGGTCAATGATGCAGTTGGAGCATTATGAAAAGATCCCTATTACACTGGTCACATACGGCACTACGTTACTGAAGATGCGGCATCATGTAGATGACCTCAATTAAGAAGTAGCCTAACAAAGCAATGATGGTGCATCGCAAAAACGTCATATATTAACTACGATATGACCTACATTTAAGAAGTTTGCATCCGAATATCAAAATAAAGATGATACAGCATGCAAATGACTCCTATTATACTGGTTGACACTCGGCAATGAAGATATTGATGATAAAATTAGTCCGCAAATGACCTGTGTTAACAACCCGATAATCCGATTATGGTGCATTATACAAATGACCTTTATTAAAGTAGTAGGCATCCGAAGACCAATATAATAATGCATTTGAAAATTTTCTCTATTAAAATGGTAAACATCCTTTAACTAACATACGGTAACTTAATGATGGTGCATTAAGAGAACTACGTATATTAACGTCTCGATTAACTGATGATAGGGCATTATTTAAATGGTCTGCATTGGAGTAATAGGAATCCGACAACAAATGCAAGTACTTATGAGAAAATATCACAAAAATGATACAGCATTAATAAAATGGCCGGGTGTCCTAAGAAAAACAAGAAGAAAATATACAGTTAAGGAACTGTATATTTTCTTCTTGTTTCTCTTTAGGATGTTAAGATCACATTTAATACAAACAGCTAATCGACTAATTAATTTGCGTAACTAAGCTTAGAAGTCTGTCCTAAAGGCGTGCTATACAAACACTTCTGCAACACTCGCAAGTCTTGCGGGTTTAGCATTCAAGGCGCCCCCATTTAAGACGCCCAAATCTTAAAAGCAATAAATATTACATTATCTTCTGAATAAGACACAAAATGTTTGCCGATTATGCAAGACAGGTTGAAGGAGTTAGTTAAATGGGGGATTCTTCATTATCATTCACTATTCATAGCAATGGACCATAATAGTCTTTGCTGATCAATCAAATCCAAACGGATGCTGTGGAGTTGATCATCTTTGGTCGGTGAATGGTTTAAAATTTTAAACGATCAAATAATGAGTCCTAACTTCAGCAAAAGGAAAATCCTTTGCTTTGGGCATTTTTTGTATTTTAACTCTGTGAAGAGATATATGCATTTGGGGCGTCCCAACCGATCTTGCGGCATTTAAACAAAAAATCTATTAACGTCTCGATTGGCCTTATTTAAATGACCTGTATTGAAGTAATAGGCCTCCGAAAATCAAGACAACGATGATAAACAGTCTCGAAAATGATCCCTATTAAGCTGGCTGACACTTGACAACCGTGATGATAAAGCAGCCTACAAATCGTCTCTATCCAACAAGAGGAAATCAAAGAGACGGGTGGAAAGGGATGGGGCTCGGCGGATAGAATGATGAAGGAACGACAGAAAGCAATAGTTCTAGGTTTAAAGGACGAAAGGGTGTTAGCAAGTTTGACGGGAGAGTCTTGGACCTAAAGTGAGAAAATCATATATGAAAGGAGGGAGATGGTAAGATGTATACCTTTCAAACTTAGTGTATATATCAACAGTAATCCTTTGGGGAAACAGAGACAAAACGATTCATTACACTTTAATCTTATAAGTTCTTCGTAGTTCGTATACAACACACATAATCAAAGTGGAATAAGGAAGGAAACTCTAAGTACACGGGTACTCAAAGAGGAAAAGGTGGCTGGCACGATGGACCAGATGGTGGAAAAGCAATTGCCGGAAATCTAGAAAAATGGGCTTCCAGAAACAAGGACTGATCAAGGATAAGCTTAAGGTACTTGACACCAGGAGAGAAGATGGGGTGATTTTTAATGGTAAACGGAGGAATAGTTAAGGTAAACACAATAGTCTGTCTTTTCTACAATCAGCCCACGAAAGTAATGATTTTAATTAATTAGGGACCAGTCCAACTTTTGATTCGTCGTTATGTAAATAATAAATGATAGCCAACAGCACAGGATATTGATAATTGATAGCACCAACAGAGGCACTGATGATGAGGCCCCAATGTTTATAACCTCTCTGTGCTCATTATGTTTCGTTATGAAGTCAATTTACGTGTGTTTATATTTTTTATCTTTTAATAAAAGTACAACTTACATTTTCCTCGACTGACTTCTTTATCTTGGCGCTGGCCTCGGAAACAGTTTTGCCGGCTTTGTTGACCGCCGAGTAGAGGAAGTTGCCAAATGATTTCGCCCCGGCAATCGCCTTGGTCGACACTGTAAAAAAGAAAATAGGACGGAAAGAACTGATAATTAAATATGGTACAATGTTGGTTAAAATCAAAAGAAAAAAAAGAGAAAAACAAATAAGAATGAAAGGAAAAACAAACTGCAACCACAATTACAACGTTACGGGCTGAAAAAGAATGTTAGAACGCAAACAAGTTAAGAGCGGAAAAGTTAACGAGTAAAGAGTTAACACAGGTCAGTGTCATTATACACAACAGGTAGAAAAAGATTACAAAAACTTTTCAAATGCAAACTCCGACAAGAGTACAACATTTATAAAGTATAAAAAAAACAAGCACTACAAAACAAAATCATTGAGGAAATGAAATACTAATAACTACTTGCTAATTATCACAATAAACGCTGTTCTTTTTAACTCAAACTTAATCAAAAGTTTATTCGGTCAAGTACATTTTATATATTTGTTGCTTACCTTTAAAATTAAAAATGAAATCTTCCAGTACAATTAAAAAATAGACATAATTTTGGGTGGTAAATGTTGATTATCGATTATCGATCGAGTCATACATTATGTATAATATAAATATCGCTTTCAGTAATAAGTTAATAAATTTCAAAAATTATCTTATCTATATGATTTATTAATTTTTTAAATTACTTTAATAAATGATTACGCTGAGAGATAAATAGGCTAGGTTTTTTTTTACTAAGGCTCTTATCTTTTTATTAGAAACTTGATATTTTAAATTCTTATAAATGTGTAGTGTGTAGTATAAGGAAGAATAAAAAGCACTCACGAGACGTAAAAAAGGGGGATCCTTTTAAGACCCCGGAGCTGTGGAATGTTAAGCGGAAAATGTCGTCCACAAACGAGATTTTTAGAGATGAGAAAAGGGAGTGCTTCTCATCGGGAAAGTTCACCAGTGCGACGGGTGTATATTTTGACTGCAATTATTTGACGAAAAGGAGGAAAGAGAGGATCGATTTACCGAGCTGGAATCGGCGAATCCCTCCCAGGGGATTGAACACGATTTTCCAAACGTTTGCAACTGATGGGAGGACGTGATAAATGGGAGCCCCTTGGAGAAGAATCAGTTTTCTTTTGAGAAGGGAACTTTATAATAAATGAATACTTGATAACTGGCTTTTGAAACATTTCGAATAATCGTTCGATGTTCTCTGTCTCCCTCCTTTCAACCAATTTTTTCCTAGCTCGCTTCTCCTTTCTTTGCACGCAGTAATGAAAATATACGAATAAAGACATACGAAGAAACATAAAAAAATTCTGATGACGGATTAGCCAAGTTCAAAAATTGCAAGAACCAGCCAATAGTAAACTGATATAAGGTGATAAAACAGGAACCAAGAATATACAACAAAGTTGACAAAACAAGAAGGTAAAGAGCAGCAACGTATCAATAGAAAACATACAAGTATATATTATCGAAATCCGTAAACGTGAAAAATAAAGATTAAGGGAACAACAAAGGTGATTAGGAAATGTGTGACATCAAAATATTCAAACCAGACAATAGGAAAATGAAAAACAATCTAAAAATATACAAATGTACAAATATAAAATAGTAGAACAAATATAATTTCAAAACAGAGAACAAACCAGGATATAGGAACACATAAAATATCGAATTAGGATAGGGAAAGAATGAAAATAACATAAATCGAGAAATAAGCAACGTAAAGATAAAGAACTGAAAGATTAAAAAACAAATCAACGAAAAGATATCAAATCAGGAAGTAGAAAAAGTTTCTAAAAAGATAACACTATAAGAAATAATCGTACAAAGAAAAGTCCGAAATGAGGACTAAGAAAACATTAGAAAGAGGATAAATATGAAAATATCAAAAAGTACAAAACAGGGACTAAGGAAATATTAAAAACTAAGAAAACAAAAAACATGACATAGATAAGGACTAACAGGGAACTAAGAAAGTCCTAAACTGAGAACTAATCAAGATCTAGAATATTACAAAATGAAAAATTTGACAAAATTTCAAAAACATAGGAACGAAAAAAGATGACAACCGAAAGTAGAAAAATTATTTTTAACAATTTGCAACAACAAATAATAAAACACTGAAAAGTCCGAAACGGGAACTAAGAGAAAATTTGATAGAGAGCAAATCTAAAAATATAGCATACAAGCCAGGGATTACTAACATATTAAAAAGGGAGGAGAAAAAAATCGACACAGTTAAGGAAAAATGAAATTAGGAAAATGGCACAGTGTAAAAATAGGTTAAACGAAAAAATATAGAAACGACGAAAAGATAAAATTAGGAAAAAAGAAATACTTAAAATAGGGAAAATTATGAAATAAGTACACATAAATCTTAAAAAGGAGACAAATTAGGAAATACTGAGACCGGCTAAAAAAAAATTAAATAAAAAATAATAAAACAATAAAATTAAAAAAGTATAAGACAGGTAATGATGATAATGTACGATAAAGCAATTTTTTCTAATAATTCCAATAGTGAGATTTCTCCATGTGGCCTACGGGGGAGGAACCGTAATTTGGACGTTATCTATTATTATTGGTCTGCATACCTCCCTGGTTTAGTCTCTCAGACTTGTTTTGGCACTTCGTCATCATTCAAATACGCGGATTTATTAGTCAATGGATTAATAAGTCCTCCACTCAATATGAATATAGCCCGGGACAGAGGCAAGTGAAAAAGTTTATCAAAAGACCATCAGAGAAACTAACGGCAGAACTAATCTAAGAAGTACTAGGACTAGAATAATAGTTGGTCTGCTAACTGGACACTGCAGACTCCGGAGGCATTTGTATAGACTCGGCTTGGCAGAAACAAGCCTGTGCAGATATTGCCAAGAAGAAGAAACAGCGGAACACGCCCTCGGATGTAGCGAAGGCCTATGTAGGCTGGTATTCCTAATCCTGGGAGAGGCAAAGCCAGGGTCTGAAGGATACACAGCACTTGAAAAAGCGTCGGGATCTGATAAAAAGCCTCAAGCATAACGAGGAGCTCTAGATAAAAAAATGGAAATGCACAATAGACCAATACTGGTAGCGCTGCACAGGTAGTAAAGAGGCCGGCTCCTAAATAATCTATCTATCGGCTCACCCAGACTGAACTATGAATATGGCGAAATACTGAAACCCGTTAGACAGGCATGATAACGACCGAATTACATTTCCAAGAGTCTAAATATAACCATATATCAATGGCAAAAATAAATTTCCACTACCTTAGTCGGAGAATGAATTTTGTCAACAATGTTTGGACTATCCAAATTACCAGGATTTGGGTCTGCTTATTTGTTTCGACCTTTCCTGTCAACATTGACCTTTTCATTACGGCGGTTTGGATTTTATTCTTTGCTCGTCGATTGCCATCATCAAAGAGCAGCCCAGAGGCGAGTTTACAGAAACTTCTGAAGCTTATTTACATTTCAGAAGGGTCCTCCCGGAAAGGGCGTTCCGATGACATTTCGCTAATGGGGGAGGCGTTTCGTTATGACACGCACATAACGTTTCGGAATTGTGAGAAATAACCACATTTTTAATGTGTTTTAGACTTTTGGATGGTAACTTCGTTGATTGTTCATTCCAAATAAGACTGCTTAATGTATAATACAGGGTAATTAGTGTTAACATCATTTTTTAACAGCTTGCTTGGGAAAAATATAATAATTGTGAATCAAGACAACGATGATAAAAACTCCTAAGCTTTATTCTTTGGCAGGAACAGGGAAAATAATATTTATTTTTTTAGGTCTTCCTACATTGAAAAGGAACAGCCACCCGAGGTGTGCATTAAACATCTAATTAGACTGTAAGGCTTTGGCTGTTATTTTTCGTTCGTTTTATTGCCAACATCAAAAAGCAGGCCAGAGGCGAATTCTGTTCAGTACAATACTCTGGCTGCTTTTCTCTCTCGGCTAAGTTCTTTTCCATCTCATTAACGACAAACTCGGCGTGAGTGCATTACAAACAGAACAGGAAAGAGGAAGCTTTCTTTGTCTCAGTCTGGGAGAAAATTTGATACATTCTAAAAAAACACAGTTCAATTGTGCTAATTTTTATTGATATTTTGTTCTTTTTCTACAATTATAAATTCTTATAAATCGATCCAAATTTCCACCCTCAGCTAAAACTGTTGACGTTGACTTAACAAGTTGAAAGAGCAACATAAGATCAGGGAATAAATTAATTTAAAAAAAAAGGAAGTCCTTTTTATACTGACTGTAGTACTGTAGTAGACTGATGGTCTGTAGCTTTTAATCTGATTATACGGTGGACATTTTAAATTTATTCGTAAAATTCCGGCAAAGTATTGTCTGAATCAATACTTAAACCTAGAGAGACTCTGGACCCAATCATTTAGGGACAGTCTGAAAATTCCAGCCAGCTTTAGAATAACATCTCTGGTAGATCGCATGTCTTAAAACATCCACTAATAATTTTTTTAACAATTAAAAAAAAATCTGTTTGAATGACCTATTTCCAGCTAGAAAAAGTATTCTTCTGCTATTTTCTTCAACGATCATCCTGAGTCCGTCTTTTCAAGCCGTATTCATCGGTCTGGTGCGTTGCACTGTATCTTCAATATACATTATAAGTATAAAACGTTCTTGGACGGCATGGAAAGCGAGATGGCCTGGATGAAATACCGAAAACTATTATGGTGTACGTCTGCAATTTTTCTGCTACCTGTTTTGCCACTTTGCCACTAGTCATTCTGGTCCGCCTGTTCCCGTTGTAGTTTTACGTCCGGCGCGCTTTAATGCAGTGTAAAAAAGTTAAAATGGGTATGTACGCAACGAAAAGCGTGAATTTGCCAATCTAAACATCAAATCCACCTACAGCTTAACATGATCGTCCCCGGGTTTCTATTTAACGGTTTAACATAGTTTTAAAATAGCGTAGCCTGTTAAAAACTCGACATTATTATATAAATAACCGTGAAATAAAGCGGCTTAGGGTTAAAAAAAAGGGGGGAGTGGGATAATGTTTAGTGTTGAGGGAGGAAAATATCCTTTTTCTCCACCACCTCTCACCCCCTTATGAGTGAATTTAATAACAAGGCGATTCTACATTCACAGGGCGCGGCCGTCCTGTGGACAACCTGTTGATGTAACGACCACAGTTGAGGAAACGCGGTTCGCACAATAATTACAAAGGAAATATTAACTAAACTACGTAGAAGATAGAACACAGACACAACACTTACTATATAGCCTCTCACCTGCACCCATGGTCTGTGTCGGGTCTTTGTCTTCAACGGGAGAGCCGGAAGCTTCGGACGCGTGGGCGTCGCTGTCTGCACCTCCAGTGGCGCTGGAACAAATTGAAAATTAATATCCTCTTCCATTTCTAAGCGAAGAAAACCGATTAAAAGATCAATAAATATGTGCTAAATTTTTAAATTGAAAACTACTATCAGGTATAAAGGAAGAAATAATAGGCAATCTACCGCTCATTAGCTAAAATTAACATAACAACTATAAACAAGTAACAGTAACATTTCGTGGGTCATTTTAAATTTTTTGTCATATTATCATTAATTATAATTATTTCTTAATTAGTTACACGAATGATAAATATTGCAATATGTATCCACCTGTTGAAAATCAGCAAGAATGAGGACCATGAATGTGACATTTCTACCAGGTTGAAAACATTTGTTCCAAGTGAGAAGCAGGTGATTAAAATTTTCGGAGTAAAAGAATACCGTTGGCTAAATTAGATTCTAATTTAATTTTGCAGGACAGAAAGGTCAATTTACCCCGGGGGAATTAAAACTGAACGTTTTTAATCAAACCGCGCGTCAGGAGACACCTACCGCAGGATTTAATTACAAAAGTGTTTCCTTTCGTGAAAATAAAGTCAAAATAAATAAATTTTTTAAAAAAAAGGTAGGTGTCAATATTGAAATTTTCGGTTTTACTGTTCAGAAAAAATCTGCAAAAAACATAATGGTGAATAATTTAGTCAGAAATATCAGATTTTTTATCACCCATATTTCCCCACTTCTTATTAATTCGGTTTGATTATCATTCCAGTATTAATACAACTTATTTATATATTATTTTGCATAAAAATTTAAGGTAAAAAATATTTTGACCTATACGTGTGCGAAGAAATTCCATAGGTGATTGGCCAGCTTAAGAGCTTTTTAACGGAAAGGCAAAATTATTTCAATAAATCATCAATAAAAATTAATCCACGATATACCGCTCTAGAGATAGATGCAATAAACTTTCGAAATTGGTTAGTGCTAAGTTAATGCCATGGTGTAACTGATGGGATTTGCCAAGTTAGGATAAAAAAATTTTAAGACAAACAGAAACGCCCAGAAATTCAGACAAATTGATTTCAATCTACCTCCAAACATAAATTATACACAATATAATACTACAGGGATTGCAGATAAGATTTTGTTATAAAGATTAGCCAAGATAGTAAAAGGAGATTTTTCCCAGTAATATTATTCAAGATAGGAAAAATAAATTTTCTTCAGAAAAAGTTGCAAAGATAGCACGATTTTTCTTGATAATGATTATTTGGAGGTCGTGAGATGCGGTCTGGTTTGAAGTAAGTTTTAGAAAAACATTTTCTTTATCGTGCCAACGTTTCGATCTTTATTGAGATCATCTTCAGGGCTCAAAGTGTTTTTTTTCCTGTGCAGGTATGTCATTTTGTCGTGTTGAGAGCGCCAAATAATCATTAACTAACAGTCATTAAACACCGCACATTTCACAGTAAAATTTGCCACCACGATAAGAAGAGAACATTTTTTAAAAAAACCGCCTAGATTGGAAAAGGAGATTTTTCTCAGAAAGATTTGCCAAGACAGGAAAACCGAATTTTCTCATTGCAAAGATTTGCCAAAATTTTTCTCCAAAAGATTTGACGTGTGAAGTCAAGATTGAAAATGAAGAATTTTCTCAGAAATTTTTGCCAGTTCAGTAGATTTTCACAGTAAAATGTTTGCCAATATTGGAAATAATTTTTTTTTCAGAAATTTTTCCTAAGATAAGAAAAGTTATGTAATAAATGTACAATAATATGTGCATGTGGGGTATTTAGTGACCGTTAGTTAATGATTTGTTACAAGCAGAAATAGAGATTCTTCGCAGAAAGAGATGCTACGATAGGAAAATAGATTTTCCTAAAAAATAGATAAAAAGTGTTTATCCACGTTAAAAAGACATTTTTCACGGAGATGAAGAAAGCTTAGAAAGTCTTACGACTACCAAAAATAAAAAATAAAAAATACAAATCCTTAACACTCACTATCCAAAGGATGTAAAGAACCTTTTCTTACATGATTAGGTGACGAGGAGAGATAAATAAGGGGGAATTTCTAATGGGAAAATGTTTTTCCAACGAAATGAATATTGAGAGCCGAAAATTCATAATATATAAATTCAGATTTCTAATGAATCAGAAAAATAATATTACAGATATAATTTTAAATGATCAATTCAACTATGGTATTTCTTGCGAAGTTATTGTAGGCGTTTGATGGGCTGTTGAAACAATTAGCAACGGCGAATGACGTAAGAGTGTGACTAAAAGGGAAAAGCGAGGACAAACGTACCGAGAAAATCCAATATAAACAACTGAATTTTGAACCGTCGTTTGTTGTTTCAACCATCAAAATGCACCCCCATTAATGTGGAAAACCAAATTTAGGAGGCTAGTTCATTTATTATGAAAACAAATACTATTTGTTCAGTCGATTTGTTGTTACTAGTCAGTTTAATCGAACTGGCGTATTCGAAGACTTGAAGGGTAAAACACTTTTAAACGGGCTTGTTTTTCAAACAGACAAAGGGTTGACAGTAACAGCTATGAAAAGTTTTTTCAAAAAAAGAACCAAACGAAGCCTAAATATTAAAAGCATTCGATCTTTTAGCAAAGAAAAATAAATTAACAAGCTACATATTTACTTGATTTACTAGACGCATTAGCTAACCGTTTAAAACGTTGTCTTCGTAGATTAATATTGGAGGTGTATGTTCATCGATAAACTAACTTTGCATCGTGTCGTTTAATTTCCATACACGAGAGCTAACATTTAGCTGTTATAAGCAAACAACAACTAACTCATTTTGTAAAAAGGGCTTGCAGTAAAATATAAATTTCTCAATTATAGTGTTATTCATCAACCTTTTTTTAATCTACTGAACCCTTTCAATCCAACCGATAGCCGTTTCCCTGGTAACAACTTATAAAATTTAAACAATGGAATATGAAGAATTTCAAAAATTCACAACACTGCATTCCTAGAGATAATGAAAAGCTGCTGTATTATAACAAGCTTTCGAAAAAATAAGCTTGGTAGGGTTACATTCCTTTTTTTATTTAAAATTAAATTTTTAAAATTAACAAACAATATCCACTAAAGCAGAGGTTCGGGAACTTATGAATCTAGGCACTCTACAGCAGCAAGTTCTCGAAGTGCTATTACTCCACACGCATTGTTTAGCATTTTCCTCATCGAATATTAACATTTCTCGCAGATTTTGTGCTGCATTTACATAATACATTATACTCTTCTCTTGTAATACCACTGACAATCTACAAGTCAACTCTTTAGTACTTTCTTGACGCTTCTTCTTCTTTTGATCGAGTTTGGGACTCCGGCCTGCGCTTCATTCTCAAGGGTTTGCCGACTCATTGAAGCAATCCTCTCTCAATATTTCCTTATCTACCCTCAGGGTAGCGTACCGGTCCCCACTCAATGTCAGATTTATACAGCTGACATTCCATCACTTTTTATCCATCCAGCACTGTACACTTTTGAACTGTACACTCCCTCCTTAAGGAATCCATGACACTAAGATCGGGGGAACGATGTGGCCACGAGTTGACTCCTCATCTACCAATCCACATGGGATATTACTGATTCAACCAGGCACGAATTTGTTGGGTGTAGATGTACGGGTCAGTGGTGAACAGTGCTAAAGTTTTAAGGATTAAAATTCTCGAAGCATCTGATAAACTTAGAACCTATTTATCCACAAGAGTAACTATAGAATACATAGCTGTCAGACATTGTGATCGTCATTTTGAAAACAATTTGTAAAATCAATGGTTGTAAATCCTGCACTAATTTATTGTAGATAAAATTATAAAACTTGAAAGCCAACAGATCTATTTATCATCATCGTTGATCTTATGTACGTTTTTCTACAATTGATACGCAACAAGTCTACCACCAACCGGAGGGGTTATGGATATTCTTGTACCGTTTGAAAGCTTAATAAATAATGAATTGTTGCGCAGTTTGGAAAGATGTAGGATTAAACAGAAGAGCATACCTAATTATCAATTAGATCTTAAAAATCAAACATTATGGTATTTTCAAATTTGAGCATTTATTAAGTTTCTTAATTGAAAATTATTTCAGATGAAAATAGTATAAATGAAATTTAATGCGGAATCCAAAACTGTGGTAGTCCTTATGATATGTATTTGTGTTTCTCGAGTAAGGTAACGATTCCATGAAAAAATAACAAAAAAATTGTAACTCGTCAGGGAATGAAGATACGTATAAAGACAATACGTTGGAAATTGTTGCCAATAGAGTGTACAATCAATAACATTTTTTTTCGCACTACCTCTGGGACACCCTGTATATTTCTTATCTCATTGTTTCATGTTAATGAATCGAATGTTGTTGTAATGTACTGCAAATTAATAAAAGTCCTATTGTTTATTATACCCGTCTCAAATGTGTGCAATCGGGAACTGGTTTTTTTTTTTTTTTTTTTTTTTTTTTTAAGGGATTTATTAAAATATAGTCCATACAATATTACACCAAAATGGCCAGCAGAATGTAAGGAAATTTTTAAGACAAAAAAAGAAATTTGATTTTTGTTATTTTTTAATTTTTCCAGTACGGGGATTCGCTCTCCCTCAGCTGTTTTTAAGTCAGCTTTTAAGCCAATCTTATTCAACCTAATTAACTTAATTTTTGTTTTGTGAAATCCGCCAATCCCTTTCCCGACAAAGAAACAGCTATCGGTTATTTTCAAAACCCTCAAAGAGAGGACTTGGAACTTTAGTCTGTAACTTAGAAGATCTGTGACAACGAATTAATTTTTGAATATCTTCTAATGCTTAAATTTTTTAATTTGGTTCAGATGTCTCATTCTTCATACAATCTAATGTACATTTTAAAAACGAAATCATTTTTCCTTTTACATTTTTTAAACAATTATTTCGTTTTTGCATGTTTGTTTGTTGCTAATTCCTTGTTACCTTGATGCGTCGTCGTCCTTTTCCTGTGGAGATCCTTTGTTGGACAACTGGGACGTTGGGCTGGCGGGCAGCTGTGGCGGAGATCCTTCCGCACCGGCCTCCGCTGTCGCAGGATCCACCGACTTCTTGCCTAGGCCGGGGATGCCACCACCGAGCCAACTGGACATCTGCGTCTTCACGTTACCAAGTCCTCCGAGGTTGCCGAGCATTTCCAGCCTACTTCCGCCTTTCGTGGGGCTGTGGGGAGAATAAAATAAAAAAATTAAATTGAAAACTCGACATTTGAATGATTTATTTATTTTCTAGCTTTTGAACATTATGGCACTGTTATTTTTAGAAAGGGTGGATGGTATTTTTAAGACAACCTGATCGACCTATGTTATAACAACTGTAAAATGTATATCTCCTTCGGTTTTTTTTTTTTTTTTTTCAAGTAAAAGTTTTATCGTTTTCCCTCCCGATGCCTATTTCAAGAACGGGAATAATTCTTACCTCTCCACAACAAAGGAAGGAAAAGAAATTGCCCTGTAATAATTCCTGAGAGGAATACATCTTTCATGCCATCTCGCCTCGGGGCTCCCGAAAAAATTTTAACAGCCCAAAATATATACAACAGCGATTCATAAAAAATATTGTTTTATGAGGAAAGGAATTCTTTCAAAGGTTAATGTAACCACTCATTAATACCACACCTTTAAGTGTGTTAAATTAAGTTACTTTTGATACCTAAATTTTGGTTGTCTTTTGTGATGAAAGTTAAAAGGAAAAGCTTTGCAAGGGTCATACAGGCGTAAACCTGTTGATAAGAAGAGAGTTAAATAACACACCCTCTCCCAAACGCAACCCACCGTTGAGTTCTCATTTCAAAGAACCTTAGGCTGCCTTTACATACATTTTCCCAATTAAAATACAGTTAAACTTCGCCCAGAGCCAAGAACATATTTAAAATACAATTTTAAACATTAAAATCTTCTGATAAGCAATGTAATGAAGTTGTATTCGATGTAAAAGTATTCTGAACTTTACTGTAATTGCTAAAAGATTCTATCTCAAATTGTAACAACAAACTGTGAATATTTTAAATCAAAATTGTCTGTATTCGTTTGAAAGATTAAGTCCAATTGTCGTAGCAATATTATTAATTAGTCCGTGAAGAGAACTTGTCGAATTAACTAGGCCTAATAATCAGATTCCTTGGTAAAACTGGATTCACCGCTGTGCTTCAAGTACAGAACGGGGGCTCTAATTGCTCTCAAAGTAGACAGTATTCCAAAGCACCTCGAACCTTTACATTTTACAAGGGTACGACCAGGTTGTTGTGGCAGGATTTGGACCAAACTTTTTTCCCTGAAATTGTGCAACTTTCAAATTTCAACACAGCCGAAAAACTACTTATCTTATTTTCAGGGTTTTATTTCAACCAACCACCTTGAACCTGGCTGAGCGTATCCACCACGTCTTGTGAATAATAATAAATTTTTGAAAATTGAAATTTTACATTTTTTAATATTTTTATTTCGACGTTCATCCTAATATATCACTTCACAGCACTTTTTATGTACATTGCAACAAAAATATAGTAAAAGCTATCTAAGTTTATCTATATACAAAAAAATACTAAAAACCAAATATTTTTCAAATACACTAGATCATAATTTTTTCGTGAAACTAATATGAAATTTCGTTTTATCACCTTTAGAAGACCCCTAAATATAAATTTTTGTTTGAATTTAAATTAGAATTTTGGACCCTTATTTTTTCGATTTTTAAGAAGTCGTTGTCGGAATATCATTTTGATACGGCTATAATTAAAAAACGGCTAAAAATATTTTAATATCAAACGTACTATTTGGAAGAAGAGGAATATAGCTTTTTAACAATGTAATAACACAAAAGTATATAAAATATTTCTATAAGAAAATATACACAATGGGAAAATAATTTAACAGAAATTAAACTCTTTTTTAAATAGAGATAATAGTCCGATTTTAATGTTTATCATTTAGTTTTGTTTTTGTTGCAAGCTACCTAAAAAGTTCTGTAAAATCATATATCTACATAGTTGATTTGAGCAAGGAGAACGGGGAAACTAAAATATTAAAAAATAGAAAATTTTAACTTTCAAAAATTTATTTTGGCAAAACCAAGGCCTATTCAAAAGAAGTGTCCGATATTTTGAAGATATGCTCAGAAAGGTAGACTGAGTAGAAAGAACCTAGTTATAGCGGACAAGTTGCGGGTTATGGAACTGGATTATTGTGAGTTGGAGTGTTTCCTCTAGTAGGGCATAATGTCCATACAAACTGAAAAAAATGAAGACTCGCACAACTACAGACTAATCAGTCTTCTAAGCATATTTTCAGAAATATTTGACCGACTTCTTTTAAATTTAGTCACATACGGAACGAACAATCCGAATTATGAAACAGTGGTTCTATCAGACACCTACACTCAGGGTCGAACGTTTTCAGTTGAATGGGGTCATGCCATATCGTATTCTATATTCAGGTATTCCACGAGGAAGCGTCCTAGGCCAGTTCCTTTATCTCTACTACGCGCATGACGATATTGCCATGATTGGACCGACCGCAGAAGGAAGTGAACAATACGCAGAAAATGTATGAACGCTATCAACTAATACCAAAAAAATCTGCGTAATTCATACTTACACACCGACAAACGTACTGTTCTTTAGACTCAAAGCTAACACGGGCTAAACATGTTGGCTATTTTGTAAGCAAAGTTCGACTGAGAAGACCATTAAAAAAACTGCTGGACTAAACTCAATCTAATTAGGTCGGTTTGGCTGCACTCCTGTGGCATCTCGGCGCAACACCAAAAAAAATTGTTGACCATGGTTGATAACTGGTGCGCCCTAGTAAGTCAGAAACGACAACCTGCACAAGGATTTACAAATCTGTCACAGAAGTTATCAAAGTATGCAAGAGAATACATGGAATGAGGGGCTCACACAAATCTGCTGATGACCACCCTTCCACGCAACACACCAGTCGTTGTCTCTCTCCACTACATGACTCAGAATAATAATTTTTTTTTTAAATATAAAAGACTGAAAAATTAAGAACATATGCTGATAGCATTATTATTTAAGACTATATATGTTAACCGTATTTGGGTATCAGTATGTTGTTCATGAAGGTTTTTTATTTATTTATTTATTTATTTTTATTTTTTTTAAATTTTTTTTTGCGCGCGCGTTACTTATTATAAAAACTCCTGTGATAATTCAGATCAACACATTTACATAAATCTGTTAGAGGACAGTTATTGAGCTTAATCCTCATTCTCTGCTCTACCTGACAGCTTGCTATGTTTTATACATATAAGAATAAACGTTCAACTTCTAAATCAACGATGTAAAACAAAAAAATGAATATTTTATATCAAATGATTATTTCACTGCAAGAATCTATCACGAATTTAACCAAAAATATGGATATTTACATCAGAAACGGCAGTGTTTCCTGTTAATAATGAATGTAGTAGCAATGTTAACCTCAAGTTAGATTATAGATTATATAGGAGCAACTCTTTACATTTGCATCGCGACCAATAAACCTCAAGTTATAAATAATTTAAATCACAAATGAAATAAGCTGCATGGGTATATCTGAAATGTTTACTAAGTAAATTATTTCATTATTTAACCTCGGCAAACAATTCCCATTCACCACTGAGTGTTTAAACTTCATAATCTACTTCCTGTCCAACTTATCTCGAACCTTTGATAAGCCTTAGTTGACCTAGAAGTAAATGATCATTTTTCAAGTCGTTGTGTTTAATTATCATTAAAAGTAAAGGTTTTAAGGCGTTAACCATAGGAATATTTGTCGTGCTTTATCTCAATCAGCTCTTATTAGGGCTGTGTAGATAATACACGCCTCATCGTTGTAGAGTTAAACAATATATTTAAAAAGGCTCATTTTTTTTAAAATAACAGTGACTTTTTTATTGTACAAATCATGTAGAACCTATTTTAGAAGGTTTGTTATCTAAAGTGCCGGACTTAAACTGAAACGGTTGTGAATATTTCACCAAGGCCCTCTCCCCTCTGGTAGGAAAAAATCTCAAAATGGGGCCATAAATCACACGAAATACCATCATATATGCCAGACACGATTTAAGGCCCAGGGAGTGAAAGAAAAATCAAAATAACATCGATTTAGCAACAGACCGGGGTTTCAAGCTGTATAAAAACTATTTACAACTATAAATAGTTACCTACCATTGTAGCAGTCCTATTCGATCCGAGTATGACTTATTGCTCATGGAAAAACAGCACGCATAATTTACAAACTCATAAAGTATGGAAATTAATTGATGTTAATTAGGGCAAACAGGGATCTTCTTGCCATATTGAAAAACGAAGCCGTTAAATCAACCATTTATTTACGGACAAATCAATAGTTACACGACTGCCACAATGGCGGATTTTATTAAGGCGCGTAACTTTCTATTTACGTTTACAATATGTACAAAATTTAGAATCAAGGAGTATTGCCTCACAATTTGCACAAGTGTAATCGAACAAAAAAATTAAATTGGATAACAGACCAATCAACCATACAACGATGCAACAACTGAATAAAAACAAACAGGCCAAATTTTTATCAAATCAATTTAAGTTGTCTTGAAATATTTTGAGTTAGACGGTTCGCCGAATGGGCGAAAAGTTGATCAAACCTCTTACAAAATCTTATCTACTTGTAATTTTCAATATTTTTGCCAAATAAATAAGTCACTCGTTATTTTTTCCACGTCTGTCAGTGGCTTAGAGAAAATTACCCCGTCGACGTCTGGTCAGAAATCGAAATTGGTGACCTGACATTTTCATCATTCCCCCCTCTAACGAAGGCAATTTTAGAAAGAAAAACAAAATAAATATTGCTTACAGAATTTCAATTCAATTTCTCAAAAATACCAAAATTTATATTATGGAAAAGCATCACTTCAATATGTGACAAGTTTTTGACTCAACATTTTGCAAAAATCAATAATCATGCTCGTGCAGCTGCTATACTATCAATAATCATGCTATGCTGTTATACTTTACAATAAGCATTATTATCCATTTGTTTTCGATCAGCCGCTATATTGTTTCTACTTTGGAAGAAACCCCAAAAGTAAGATCAAGTCAGCCTTAAAATGGATGTCATGATGAGAAAAAATGTATTACTTAAAAAGAAATGAATTACTTATAATTTACTTTATTAATTACTGATAAGAATTTTGAAGACTCTTGGCATATACAAGAATAGAGAGAGAGAGAGAGAGAAAGAGAAAGGGAGAGTAGAAAAAAGAAAGATGGGGTACAGGAAGGCACCAAATAAGAGAAAAAGAGAGGAGTTAGACAAAGAAAATAGAGAGAAAGAGAGTGAATGAATGGTTTTATTTATATTCGCGGAATTTGATCTTACTTGGCCACTCCTACAATCCCCGACTTAAGATGCGAGAGAGAGAGAGAGAGAGAGAGAGAGAGAGAGAGAGAGAGAAAGAGAGAGAGACAGACAGACAGAGACAGAGAAAAAAGAAAGAGGAGACAGGTGAGAGACAGAGAAATTGATTGCCAAAGAAGGAATATAAGAGAGGAAGACAGGAAAATGGTAAAAGAGAAAGCGGGAGAGGGATAGAAAATATGAGCGAGAAAAGTCAAGACACTAGATTAAGAAGAAAAAAGGGAAAAGTACTACCTAACGATAAGAACTATATAAGATAAAATAAGAAAGAGGCGAGTATGTGTTCGTGAGTAAGGAGATATGAATTATTAGAAATATAAGTGAGAGTGAGTGTGAGAGAAAGAGAATGGGGAAGAGCGATCATTAGAAGAGAAAATATTAAAAAATATTTTTTAAAAAATAAATCGGGTTAGAAGTAGTGGTAAAGGCAGAGGTAAATAAAGAGATAAAGGTAGGGAGTGTGTGTGTGAGAGAAAGAGAGAGGCATAGAGTGAAATAGTATATAGGAAAGGGAAAATTACTTTTTTCATACATAATAAAAGAAAAGTGCACCCTAAAGGGACTGAATAAAAGGGGTTTCTCAAGCGCGAAAATGCCAAGGAACCTTTATTACAAAGCCAGAAAAAATTAACTCGCCCAGTACTGTACTTAAAAACGTTCATGGAAATATCTGAATGTGGCAGACAAGTTTTTCTGCCAATCAAAGTAACGATATTACAACGGTGACATCAAATTGTTTACAAGATGAAAGAGCAATATTTTACGCCTAATTAAACTTATACGTGAAAACCACCTTTTCCCAAATGCCTATTATAAAAAGGAACAAAGGGGGACTTAGCCGTCATTTTAAGACTTAATGTCCTCAGAGGACCTGTTAACTCCCTTATTGACTCTATCCTGTCTTAAATAAATCAGCGATGCCTCCAGCTATTCCTGGGAAGAAATAAAAAGATATTTTATTATGTCACTGTAAATATGTCTAGGTATGTTTACTGCCAACTAGATTATTACATTTATCAATTTATGCTCTATTTTTTAAATTTATTTTTAAGATCACACTTATGTAAAATGTAATCATCATAATGACAAAATTTCAACAGATAAGCGACAAAAAATGTTCACTTGTTTTCTTGTTAAGTTAAAATCAATCCAAAAGCATTTGGTGAAAAATTGCCTATGCTGTTGATAAGTTTTGCGAATTGTTTGTCGCTAGTCTGATCATCCCTGATCCATTGATTTACAGAGCACGTTTTCGTTTTGATCGTTTGGAAATCGCCGGTTTCTAATCGCGAATCGGGGTCCGCTTGTCCTCGCTGCTCATTCGCCCGTGATGAAGCCGTAAAACCGCGGACGGAAATTCTGAACAAAATGAAGGGATAGGAGCGACGAATTTCGGCCTACCGACTACAAACAATAAAATTATTAAGTAATTAAAAATGTCGGTTAATAAATTTTAAAATACTGGGGGCGAAAACAATTAGAAACCTGGGACGAGGTCGTATTAAGGTGAAAGAAATATCAACAGGTTTTATTATTAATTATTTAAATGTCAACCTTCCTACATCGCTGAGATTTAAATATTAGATTTGTTTAATTTTACTCTTTACTCACACAAATTGAATTGAAGGACACCAGTTTTGAATGAATCTCTGGAAAATTCAATAAGAAAAAGTTTTTAAAATGACTCGAATTGTATTGAAATATTTATATATTCACATGTACACGTACATTAAATATAAATATATTTTGTAAAAACTGTGATCAGAAGATAAGAACAGGCTTCGCTGTTTAAGCAGGAAGTGACACATCGGACATGGGAAAAACACTTAACTGAGGGGAAGGCCAAATACAGAGCGAAAGCTTGGCATATGTATAATACAGTGTATTCAAGGATCACATATCCAATAAATTCTCAAAAATTAAGTCCTAGCAGATCATTAATTCAATGATCCTTAATCATCTCCAAGGCCAATTGAACCTTGAAATACTGTCTTGCTCCACTTGATAAAGTCATCAAGTGCATAACAATTTTATCACTTGAGGAAGGTCTTATGACAATTGTTCATGACACAACTACTATTCAAAAGACTAGCTGGTCCTTCCGGTAAATTGTTGCAAAATGAACATGAGACATATCAAAATGTCATCGCTGCAGCAACTGAACATGCTCGGTCGTTTTTCTTCTTCTTCCTGGCAGTATATGTACAGGCTTGTTTCTGCTGCTCTGAATCACATATGCCCCCAAAGTCTGCAGTGTTCAGTCAGTAGTCCTAGGTACTATCATTCTACTCCTAATTTCCCATTGAACCAAACCCACTCTCTATTTATCAGGGGGTTTTGGCAAATGAGTTGTCAAAATTGATAGATGTCCCAAATGATAAACGAAAACAACAGTCTATGATTGTAAGAAATGAGATGATCAGCCCTGTGTATCTTCGCTGTTAAAGTTGAAAATGTCATATTATAATTATACAAATGACGTCCAATGGGACAACGGAGGATATCTATATCGAACATAGCTTCCATATGATCAGTGAGATCATGATGATTAGACAAAACTGAAAAAAAAAAAAAAAAAAAAAAAAAAACAGTCCTATCAGAGATGTTATGAGAAGCGGTCGTTTGTCCTCGCTGTTTAAGGAGAAAATCGTTTATAAACGTCATACAATGGGACATTGCGAATATATATACATAAATATACATGGGTGACTTCCTCATGATCTTAATGATCGGGCAAACACGAAATCGGAATGCATCAGTGTAGATTTTAACCAAGAAGAATTAGTAGTTTAACTTCCCTGTTAAAAGGAGAAAATATCATTGTCGTGTATAAATGACGTACGGAACAACGGAGTACAAATTATTTTACATGACTTCCCCCTGATCATCATCATCATGTTGATCAGACAAAAATGACCGCTTGACGTATCAAAGTTTTTTAAAGTGTTTAATAATAAAGTTAGTTTTGGTTTTTATGATTAATATGATCTGGGACCGTACACCATCGCTGTTTAAGGGGAAAATGTTATATCATGTATTAATGAAGTTCAATGGGACAGCAAAGGATTAATACGTATATTGAACATGGTTTCCCTATGATCATTCAGATCATGATTAGACACTATGTCTGCGATAACGATAGCAGACAAACGTGTTTATTTAATATCTCGTTTCTAAGCCAGGTTGAAGGTGGTTGATTGAAATAAAAACCTGAAAATAAGATAAGTAGTTTTTCGGCTGTTTAAATTTGAAAGTTGCACAATTTGAGAAAATTAAATTATAGTTTTGACGTTTTCGATCATGATCTTCCTATCCTCGCTGTATAGTTGGCATGGCAGACCAAAATGATCAGAAACGACAAAACTACAGGTCAGAAAAATCATTCAATTATATTTTTAAAAAACAGTAAATATATTAAGGGGGCGGACCTTGGGTCTTTTTTCGCCTCTGGGGCTGGTTCTTCATCCGTTGGGGCCTGGGCTGGTGCCTCGTCCTGCGGGGCGGCCTCCTCTTTCGGGGTGTCCGCGCCCTCGGACTTCTTCCCCATCCAGCCGGACACTTGGTTCGTGAGGCTCGAAAACATTTCGCTCCGTCCACTGCACAATCGAAGAGGCGATCTCGCCCGTTAAAATAGCATTACACTGAAGACGATGACCTCCTGCACCTCCGTTACATTTAATTCAACGATAAAACGCGTTTCAACCTGTTTTTTCGACTCTTCTGAGTACGACGGATATTGACTCGCGACAACAAAATAGATGAAACACCAGTTTGACAGATAGACGAGCTCGCTGGTACAACGAAAAACCTCCAGAGCTACGGCAGCAGGGGTGCCAACAGAAGATTTAAACGACAAGAGATACGAAATTTCTCTTCTTAAAACCCACCCTCGGAGGGGCGACTGTCTTTATATATATATAATATTTCATAACTAACAACAGAAAGTTGAGCTGTCCAACAATTATAATACCATTAACTTAATGGCTGTTTGTCTCTTGACACAAATTAAAATTAAAGATATAAAACAAAACGTTTGTGGAGATTTTATCAGTTTCAACTGTAATTTTCTCACTTTTAATGACATCAAATCTAAACATTGTTGAAATAAAAAATGTTCAACTGTCCAATAATTGTAATATCTTTGCATCTATGATTATATTAATTTATGATAATTTAATAATTAATTAATAATAAATATATATTAATACATATATGTTTAGCAGTCATAATTGACCATAGTAATTATTTTTTTATCTAAAGACGTGGTTGAGATAAAAAGAATAATTAATTAAAATAAATATATAATTATGTAGTTGCATAGCAATTTAAATTGTCGACCCTCTAATAAAAATTTTTTGTTATATTACTGAAAATGTCTCAAAAAGAGCCGAAACATCGGGACATATAATGGAAAATGTATAAAAACACTGATCCCCTGGGCTACTCCTCGGCTAACAAAAAAATAAAAAGGGATATTATTAAGTCCTCCGGGCAACACTGGGAACCCGCCATTGGTTGGGAAAGCTCTGATAAATAGAATATATTCAAACTTTTCCGTCCTTTTTGAATATCTTTTGCATCGTTAAAAATTAATCACACTTTCATAACCGTTGATAATTAATTTTTAATTAACGATTGGTAATAAGTATATTGTGGCCGAAACGAAATCGATGATATCTGTTAGCACTGTTTTAACCGTAAACAGTTCGGCCTTCGAGACGGGCAATATTTTGTTGTTAACGTTTACAATCAACATTTTCGAATTTTCTTTTTTGTTTTTATTTTAATTTTTATTATGCGAGGATCATTTTATGTTTTATTTCACGATGGAAAGTGTGACTCGAATCGTTTTATAGCAGAGTAGCTCATGTTCGTGTCCTGTTGGCGTCTGATAATACTGTAAGTCGAATTTTCATACCACTTCAACCAACAAACAAAACACATTTCCATTAAACAAAATTAATAAAAACAAATAATAGAAAACAATCTTATATTACAGGGATGTGTGTTAAACTGAGAAATGTTCAGTACATGAACAAAAATTAATGTTGAAAACGAGAAATGATACCTGTAAACAGACTTTATACTTTAAATAATGTATAGTAATACAAATACAGTTAATAATACAACGTTATGTTGTACAAGGTACCTTTGTAAACAAAACTAGATTTTTCTTCAATTATCTGTTTAGGATTTACCATCAAAGGTTTTATTTTTCTTGGCTTATGATATCTTTTACTCTGTATGGTAGGTCATAGTTAGTGTTGTTGTTTGAAACAGAGTGAAAGGTTAGAATTCTATTTTATCTATGAACTGTTACAATCCATCACTTTTGATCTCTTTAGCTTGAATGAGGCTCTGACCATATTCTATCAGCCTGATCTGACCTAGAAATGGTAGACCAGGAAGATTCAGAATTCACAGATTATTAATTTTAAAAAAAAATTCCAGGGTGAATAAATAAATATGGAAAAACCCCTGGAGCTAAACGGTGTCGCAGATCCGGCGAACGGATTGGATGAGGCAGCGAACATTGCGGAAGAATGCGCTATAAAGATTTCAAGCGTTATAAGCGAAGACATCATTCAATTAGACTCAGATGACAATGATGCAGAACAGCCCGATCAGTCAATGTCGAAACCTGACAACAATGTAATTTTTTATTAATTCATTTTTACTGAAATAAACTTACATAAATTACTTGTTAATAAGTAGTTTGATCGTCTCCAATTATCCTGACCGACCAGTGCAGACTTTGTAATGCTAAAATCTGTAGGAATAGGCAGAGGGTTAGAGACGATAAAGCTACAGGTTAAGCATTAATTTTGTAATAATCACTTCAGAGTGTTCACAAATATTTACATTTTCCCTTGGTTTTAAATATGTACAGCCTATCGATGAAACGACGGATTTGAACCTGGCGATGGAGGTCCATGACGGAGACATCGAGGCGATTGACCTGTGCGATTCTGGCGATGAGACCACCAAGGCAAAACCGACACAGCAGTTCCTCAGAGTTGTAAAAATGCCCTGTACAGTAGAGGTAAATTTGAGGAAATTCATTTTGAAAAAAATCATGTCATTTTTTATTTACATAATTAGAATGCTGACTTCGATAAAAATACAAACGACGAGGTAATTATAACTGGTGATAAAGAAGAGGACATAAATCAGTCTGTAATTGAAAAAGACAAAAACCGTTCTGAGACTAGTCATGCATCTGAAAATATAGTAAGTTTACACTAATACTTAAATGCATACATGTATTTAAAAAATTCTGTATTTTAGAGTTATTTGTATGTAACACTAATTATTGTTGACAGGCCAATTCAATAAATAATACCAATAAAGATTTAGAGGAGCATCAGATTGAATGCAAAGTTGTAAGCGGGGGTCTTCGAGATTGTTTACAATGTGCCAGAGTGAGTATTTCACATATGAATTAAAAATTGATATGTCGTTAATGATAATTAGATGGATATATATATATATATATTGGGTTGTCCGGAAAATAATGCAGGATTTTAAGTTTTCATTAAAAAAAATCTATATAAAATATTCTGTTTACGTTTACAGGATTACTCATTTGTATGAATGTCAACACTTATTAATCCTCTTCCAAATGATATTGTTTGTTTACCTCTGTAGCATTCCGCTACTTGGAAATAATTCAGTCATCCTTATAATGTCAAAGCGAGAATTTCGTACGATTTTCTTTTACGAGTTTAAACTCGGCCGAAGCGGAGCCCAAACGGCTAGAAACATTAACCAAGTCTGGGGCGAGGGTTGTGTTAATGAGTGCACTGTGCAAAGGTGGTTTAAAAAATTTCGGGAGGGAGATTTCAGCCTTGAAGATGAAGAAGGTCGTGGAAGGCCTTCCTCTCTTAATGATGATGTTCTGCGATCAGTGGTGGAAGAAAACCCCAAAACAACTGTTCGAGAACTTGCAGAGCAACTCAAAGTCAGTAAAACGACCGTCGCTGACCACCTCAAGGCGATTGGAAAAGTGAAAAAACTCGAAAATTGGGTTCCACACTCATTAAACGATCGCCAAAAAATCAGCGCTTTGATGTTTGTGCATCACTTCTTTGTCGAAACAAAAATGACCCATTTCTGGCCAGAATTGTTACATGTGACGAAAAGTGGATTCTCTACGATAACACTAGACGTTCTGGACAGTGGCTCGACAAAGGAGAAGCTCCAAAGCCCCCAACTCATCAAAAAAAGGTAATGGTTACGGTATGGTGGGCTTCATTTGGTTTAATACACTACAGCTTCTTAAATCCTGGCGAAACCATCAATGCTGAATCATACTGTAACCAAATTAATACCATGCATCAGAAATTGGCAGTAATGAAGCCCTCTTTGGTCAATCGGAAAGGGCCCATTTTGTTGCATGACAACGCTCGACCACATGTGTCACGTGTAACGTCACAAAAATTATTGGAGCTTGGCTATGAAACTTTGCCTCACCCACCCTACTCTCCGGACCTCTCGCCTACTGACTACCATTTTTTTAGACACCTGGACCACTACTTACAACACATAATATTCAAAAATCAAACGGAACTGGAAAATGCATTTATTGACTTTATCAATTCTAAAAATTCTGAATTCTACTCAGACGGAATTAATAAGTTACCAACACGTTGGGAGAAATGTATTGAGAGTATGGGAAATTATTTTGATTAAAGAACATTGCTTTAAAGTAACTAGTTTCTTTTTTTTTGTTTAATACCAAAATCCTGCATTATTTTCCGGACAACCCAATATATATATATATATATATATATATATTTCAAACAAGTTTTTCCTTGTTGCACCTTTTTTCTTCCATCAAGATTGCCAAATCCTCTTTTGTAGCTGGTAAACTCAGTTTTTTTATCAAAAATATTATTCATGAGAGTTGTCATGGATTTCATGAGTTCTGACATTACAGTTTGTCCTACTTACTTCCCCCCCCTTCTTATCGAGTGGCAAATTTTGTGAAAGTGGTAATCTTTTTAGCTCAGTACTGCTTTGTCCAGGAGAATTCCTCAGTCTCTTCAGCTTTTCTGACCTCTCAGGAGGTCTGGGATTGGTAGAAATTTGTGATTTAATAGATGACATGCAGAGTTGTGGAGACGACAATTATCAGCCAAACAATTTCTTTCCTTGACATAAAGTGATCTGGATAAGAGGATGAGCCTTTGAGCCTTATCATTGTATATCAAAACTATTTCACTGCAGCAAAACTAAAAATAAAGTTATTAATAACTATCAAACAATTAAAAAGATTGTCTTCAACTATGAGAACACTGTATAGTTTTTGTCCTGCAAGCTTGTCAAAATCTCAAAAAAATGCACTTTATTGATAATTTTCAGTACACCTCTTGTCATATGATGCTGATGATATCTGGCCTCGAGTGCTACTTATGCTCTGACAGTTGCCTCAAGGAATACCGTAGGATGGAAAAATTGAGCAAGGAGCAGCTGTTATCACCAGCACCATTGAGCCATGCCGACTTCACTGATGTCGAGCAGGTATGCATGACTTGCGGTGCCATCACGGGTGAAGGTGTACTCTCCTGGGAAGTCATGGACTTCTGCAATAAGGAATGCTTAGCCAAGTACCAGGAGAACATATGTAGCAAGTGCTTATTCTGTGAGAGTAAAGTATCACCGGCAGCCATGGGCAAATACTGCGTGCGCTTCGGAAACGAGATAAAACAGTTTTGCAAAGTGAGCTGCCTCGATGTGTACAAGAAAAACATTAAAACGTGCTGCTACTGTCAGGTGAATGTATCAATCACGGATGAAAATTCCACATTCACTGTCCAGCCTAGTTCAAAGGTATACTTTAGGGTAAGTGAATTATTTGTTATTCTAATAATTTTTTTTCAACAGGACTTTTGCTCTAAAGAATGTGTGGATAAGTTTGAGCTAGTCATGAATAAATCCAAATTCAAATTAGTAGCGGCAGAATGTGCAGTTTGTGCGAAGACAAAAATTGTAATGGTTGAAGTTCTTATGGTTGATAAAACTACTTTGTTGTGCAGTGATTTATGCATGGCTGCATATAAGTTTGTAAACCAAATAAAAATAGGTAAGGCTCCTTGTATATTTATATTAATAAAAACCATAACTGTTCTTGTTTTCAATTTTTTTAGGACATTGCTATATGTGTAAAAAATATTTTGATAAGGAGTTTATCAAAGAAATAGTTATATTTCAAGAAAATATACCATATAGGTTCTGCTCCAATAATTGTATGAATATAAACATTTTGTCTAAGAGAAAAATTATGTCTTGCGTGTGGTGTAAAGTAAGCAACTCAGTAATAAAAATCTCTAACATTTAACTAATCAAAAAATATATATTATTTTCTAAGGCGAAGAAGTATAATTTTGACATGATACATCAAAAGAAGAAAGTTTCCCCGTTAAACAGTGACCAAAACAGCTCGCCAGTTTTTGTAAGCATGTACATCTGTTCTTTGAACTGCTTTACCCTCTACTGTGTATCTTTGCAAGCAGGCACTGCATCAAGGTGAATACACACAAGCGACACTTGGTCATGAAATGTCTAAATCTCAAATTGTTTCCAGTCAAATGTGCACCCAGTGCAAGAAGATCGACCTCCGCCTCTTCCAGCTCAGCATGTCCGACGGGACATTCAGGGACTTCTGCTCGTACGATTGTGTCAAGGAGTTCACAAACCTGAGTAAGAAGGGGAAAAAATTTCTAAAAGTCAACCCTCATCCCACCAATGCAGGTATGAGTTAGATATAAAAAATTAAAATGTCGTCCAAACCATACAAAATCATGACAGCGAAGGAAATAAAATTAAAAACTGATTAACCCTTTGAGGATGGTGAGATGATAACAACACTCTTTTACTTCCTCCAGTAAGGTATTGAAAGAGTGCCATCAAGCTCATCCCTTCCCTCTACTCAGTTACTGCGAGCATAATATCAAACTCTAATATCTTTACTTTTAGACTGAAACATTGCTTAAACATGATATTTTCTAAATTTCCCTTTCTCACTTCCGCTAAAAATAATAACTTAAACAGTACCCTGTTTCTGTGAACTGAAATCTAAAAGTGAAGAGAGGGGAGTGATACCACACTCTAAGTACCTGTATAAAGGTAGGGATGAGAGTGATCATGCTCTCAATAATACTTGGGGAACAAGGAGCACTGACCTTCCAGAAAGGGTTGAGATAAACTCTTCAGCAGCATGGATCCCCCATTTTTGTAAAAACTTTATGTATTTTATTCTTACTTTCTTTTTTTTTACTTTAGTCGACAAGCAGAAAATGGGTCAATTCAGTCGAAAATCTACGAGTTAGTTTTTTTTATTTTTATATTTTAATCAGTTGTTACAAAAATTAATGAAGGTTTTTAAAATGTAAAAATTTCAGCTCCAAGAATTGTAGGTATGCAGAAGGATAACACGAAAAAGATAGGACCGCCACCCCTGGTAATTTTCAGATTTAATTGAATCTTTTTTCAAATTATAATTTAAAAAAAAATATATATGTATATTTAGGTCATAAAAACGAATCAGGCGGGATTAACTGTGAAAACCCCTGGCCTCGTCCAGGCAACAGCAGGGCAACTTAAGAACCAGATTGTCAATGTACTGGTCAAGCCTAGACCACCAATCCCTATCAAGAACAAAATGACGCAATCCCGCGTGATCACGGTTACCAAGGGGGTTTCCTGTAGGCCAAATATTAATCGGAGAGGGACTCAGACAGGTAAACCAATTTCTTTGTTAAACAAGGAAAAAAGTTTTACTTATGCCTAATTTGTTTCTCTATAGATGACAATGATACAGAAATAGATCATGACTGCTGTATATTAAGAGGCATGGTACCAGTACCTGTTCCTATATATGTGCCAGTGCCAATGGCGATGTACAGCATTCCAGTTCCGACTGTCCTACCTGTTCCTATTCCGGTACCCGTACCGATATTCATTCCAACGACGAGAAATAATTCTAAACAGATATTCGAAGATATAAAGGTAAGCCTGTTTATGTATTTATTGCCTGTGAAATTTTTTTTTTTTTTTTTTTTTTTTTTTTTTTTTTTTTTTTTTTTTTTTTTTTTTTTTTTTTTTTTTTTTTTTTTTTTTTTTTTTTTTAAAGAGGATACAGGAGAAGATGCCAAGCGATCCATTTGAGGCGGAAATTTTAATGATGGCCGAAATGGTCGCTGGGGAGAAAAAGGATGCTGATGATCCTGTCACACCGACCTTGCCGGACAACCAGGAGCCGAATACCCAACAGCCGTCAAATCCAGAGAGCAGCTTTATTTCGGATGAAGTGATGGAGGGCAGCAACACCTTTGGCGACGACATGCTTCAGATGGCCCTGAAGATGGCGTCCGATCTCGAAGACACCCTGGATAACTCACTGGAGAATTCAGAGGAAAGGGGGAAAAAGAGGAGCAGCGACTCTCCCAATGAGCCTTCCAAGAGGCGCCACAGTGGGGATTATGAAAAACCAGATGCACAAATGGCTCTCAAAGTAAATTTTATTTATTATTTGTTTTTGTTTATATATTATAAATTGCCCATTTCAGTTTACACTCGGAGTCAATGCTTGGACGCGTTTTGCCAGAAATTGGAATAAAGAGATTGAACTGGGCAAAGAGGGTAAACAAGTAAAAACGGATTTGTTATCAATGATGCCAGAAGAACTCAACGCATCACTTACGCTGTTCTTGAAGGAAGCTAGAATGGCAAACGGATCAGACTACTTACCAGATGCCAAACTGTATCTCATGCTCGGAATACAATATTACCTGTTTGAAAGCGGCCGAATTGATGATATATTCTGCGATTTGAGCTGCATCACGTTTACAGACACGTTGAACGAAGAGGCAAAAAAATTCCTCACGCTCTATCCAAAACGTAAGTTTATTAATTAAAGCTTTATACATGTTTAAAGACAGTTTTATTTTCAGAGGAAAATGTAATTACGAGGGTGGAAGAGGAGCATTTATGGGAAGGCAGACATTTAGGAGCACATTCCCCCTACAGCCTTCTCACAGCACTTATTTATTTTAATACAAAACACTTCAATTTAATGGTAAGTTGATTAAATCAATTTTTTTGTTAACATTACTAATTGAACTTTTTATAGACTGTCGAAGAGCATATGCAGCTTTCTTTTTCACAAATCTCTATACACGAAAAGAGATGTGCCAGCCCGACGCTAGTGCCTCATTCGAGCAGAACGAGCGACGGCAAAATCACCTATCTTAGGTACACTCCAGCACAATCAACTCTAGGTACGTTTTATTTAATTAAGTCCAATTCAAACAATTAATTAATAATCTGTTTTTCAGATGCAAACCCGAAGAAGAAAAGAGTTTATGAACAGTATGAAAATAAGAATAACCCAGGGAGGTGTCCAGTTATGCTTTATAATTTCTACTTGTCAAGATGGTAATTTTAAAAAAAATTAATTATATTAAGTTGTACTTAATTTTATCAACATTTCAGCCCTGAAAGTATGAAAAAGAGAAACAATGTATTTTACCTACAACCTGAGTGGGCTGGCGTAGCTGAAAGCCCATTCTGGTATTCGGCCAACGCGCTTCCTGAGGAGACGTTGCAGAAGATTCTAAACAGGTTCAAGATGGTCAAAGAGATCAACCAACCCATGAAGGAAGATTTTTTATAAGGCTTTTTTTCTTAACCGACTGTACATAAGTTGTATAAAAAAACACGGATTAACTATTTTATTCTCTTTTTTTAAACATTCATTACATGTAGATGCTATCTGTTTCTGATTTTCAGAAAAACCTGCTAAGAAGTTATGTTAGATTGAAATATAAAACATACCTTATTTACACAATTTAATTTTTAGCTAATGTTTAAAAATTATTTTTCAATAATTCTTCGTTTTTAAAAAGTGCAATAAAGTTGTTGTACAATTTGGCCTTTTCACTTCTTCATTCTTGACAAATTTTTAAAAGTTATTCTGGCATAAAATGAAGATCATTTGTACATGCCCTCAAATTTTGCTATTTTCATTTTCAAATTTCAGGATAGAAGGGCAAGACTGAAGCCATTTTTTCCAAAAGTGCACCTGGAATCTTGTACAGTGAATTTTTATGCGTGTTCCTCTGGACTTGAGTCACTTCGCCATTTTGTCAATTAGACTATCTTATACAATATCTTCTTCTTTGCCCTTTGTTTTTTCTTTCCTTTCTATACATAGGCTTGGTGTTAAAACACAGAACTCACTGAGTCAGCCTTGCAATTTAATTATTTTTCTGTATGCTTCAGGGCTTTTAAGAGCTGGAATCATACTAAATATATAGACTCTTAGAGTATTATTCTAGCTTCTAGAACCACGGCTGATCTTGGTTTTTTATGAGTTCCAACATTTTAACACCAACCATGGATAAATTCAGACTGCTATATAGCATTTATTTTATTGTAAGTGGGTTTCTTAAACTTTTCTCCACTGTTTAATTATGCTAATTTAGTACTTTTTGTAAATATATTTAAAATTCTCTGCCTATGGAAAATACAATGGCCCTAGTCATTTCTCCTTGTACTAACTTTTTATAGAAATAGGTATAATATTTTGGTAAAAAGGACGAAAGTATAATATTATGTATTGAACTCAAAATCTATATGGCACCTCAAGCTCCTTATGTACTGAAAGTAGGCCTATATTCTTCCCAGTTATATTTCTATAAATCCAATTACAAGTTTTCATAGTCCACCGAACTACCTCTTTCCTAGAGTAGGTCAACTCTACTTCACATTCACATGCACAAAAAAGTGGCTCACTTTGAAATTTACTGTATGTACTTGCCTATTCAGCAATATTGACACCGATATTTTTTATAATTCAGGTATTAATTAAATGTTTTGATTAGTGTGAAAAATACTTGTATATTAACATAAAACGTAACTTTAATTTTTTTTTAAAATATGGTTATATTAGTTCTTATTAAACACTAATCTCTACATGCTCATAATTAAGCCTTTAACCGCTTCTTGATGAATTTCATCCCAAATCTCGACTAACGACTCAGCTCACTAAGGTTTGTAAGAGGGTTATTTCTTCATTTTACCCAATGTCCAAACACGACCCAAAAGAACTCAATGGGTTCAAATCAGGAACATGGGCTGGCCTTCTTAGTGTAAATATTCATCATCTTGAAAGTACTGCATAACACTGTTGGCGACAGTTGGCCTTATATAATCAAAATTAGCTCAGTAATAACAGTAGTAAATAGCAACACATATTCCTCAAGAATTTCTGTCATGTAGATTTCCGCATTAAGTGACAGCTTGTTAAAAATGTGTAACTCTGTCTTTGCCTTCGAAGAGATTCCACTCAACACCATATCTGAACCGCCTCCGAACGACCCTCTTCCAGCAATGTTGCATTGGCTGTACAGCTGCTCGATAAATCCATGTAGCAAATGGAGAGAAAACTGGAACCCGTCTGAAAACAACATTCCTTTATTACAATTTTTGTTCCATTGCAAATTAAGCGGTCCCAACGATGGTCTATGGTGTCAGACCCATTGCTGGCCTTCTCTCCTTACTGTTTCAGCGCTAAACACATCCTACATAGTTTGAAGTCTGAGAAGTTTCAGAAGCAGTGGAAAAACGATGTCTCAGTGTGTGAAATCTGATAAATTGGTCAGCTGGTTCCTCAACTCTCGTATACGTTCCAATCCTGGTCTCCGAATACACCTTTTTCGGTCTCCTGGTACTGCTGAATGCCTGACAAGGCAAATCTAAAACTTGCAGCACAATGCTGATTTCTTTCATCCTCAATGAGTGCAACGGCACAGGCAACCCGCTAGCTGATTATGGGCATTTCCTTAGTAGCTATTTGTTCCACCAACACAATAGTGAAAGGATTAAATGTCCTTGTTGATGATTTACATTGTGGAGATTTTTTAATAAAATTAAGAATTATGTGGTTTTGCCTCGGAATCCACAATGAAAACAATACTTTTCATCTAATTATACTCGTTAAATCGTTTTTAAAGTAGTAAAAGCCTATGTGGACAAAACATTGTCAAATTAAAAAAATAAATCAGTTTCAGAGTGCATCACTTTTTTGTGTGGAACAGTGTTTTTTTACTTTAAACAATCAAATACATCACATCAGAACGACACCGTTATCTAGACAAAATAGTCTAATTTTTTGTCTTCCATTTGACTTAAGGAGAATGTAGTATAAAGAAAAAAAATTTGTAAGCAGTATTTGTTTCGAATACAAATGGAGACTGCATTAAAAAAATAAATAAATAAACATTAAAACAGCCTTAGTTTTATTTGAGGCAAACAATAGGATTGGTATAAATAATAGGGTAATACTTACAATTAAATACATTTCTTTTTTTATAATATAATTTTTTAATTACTTTTTATTCTCCAAATAAATTGTGTTAAAACAAATACATAGTTTCGTTTATCTCCCCTCCCCCCTCCCAATTAGAACAAATAATTCAGATAAACCATTCAACTATACAATAATTAATACAGTGACACCATACGAATTCTGGCTCTTCTCGATCGTTGGCACGACAAAAAATACAAACGAAGAACTTGTCAACATCGGGGAATTGTTATACACAAAATGTACAATTTTTGAATACGATAATTCATACCTAGAAATTCTTCAATTACAGTGAGAAAAAAATATAAAAAAAGAACAAGGAGAAACAATTAAATTAATTAAACAATAAACAATATACCACCTTCAATCACTGATCTTACGGTGTTTCAGAACTGGGTGATCGTAGCTAATTTTAAAATAACTGAAAAAAATTCTATGCCTATAAAACAACAAATACAATACCAGGTACATAATACAGACCACACAATTATTGCTTGCAATTTTTACCACACAATTTTTTGTTTTATATTCCACAATTTTTTCCTCTTTTTTCTTCTTTTAAATACACTGTACAATTTTACACATTATAAAGGTTTTTTTTAAATTTAATAATTTCATATTAACGTTTAGGTAATATTATACTCAATATGTGGCCATCTGTTTTTTTATATTATTAAATTAAGCAAATAATTGTTTAAATAACTTTAGTAATTATATATTGTTATAAATATACAGTTTATGAGTGTGATCTAGGTATTTAAAATATGCCATCTTTCCATTTTTTCTTCTTTTTTTGTCTAAATTCATCCTATTTAGTGAGGCATTTGAATTCTAAAGAGAAAAAATGCCTTTTTTTAATAATATTTAATTAATTACTTAAATAAATAAAAAGTTCTATTTTAAAGTCATAAATTCAAAACCATACTTACAAACTCGATTATTTAAAGGAGTCGGCACTTTAATAAAATGGCTCAAAATATATATGTATATATACATATATCAGTAGTCTTAATTAAATACCTCCGACTGGATAAAAGGGAAACGATCCGAACTGGGTGTTGACCGGAGTCTTCGGAGAGGCACAGACGTAGCAAAGATCATCGGAGTGCAGCGGTGTCCGGTTGAGTAGAGGTTCCGATGTTGATCTGTGTATTTTGGGCAACGAGGTCAAAAGGCTTTCTAAAGAGGCGAGGATCTGACGGAATAAAGGACGATCTTCTCTTTTAAATTTTATACAATCTTCTAAAAGTCTTCTAAGGGCTTTGGGCGTTTCTGCGGTCAGGTTGTTCAGGTCGGGCCTCAGGTAACCGCGTCCCACCATGAACAAGATTTGATCTTTATTGTTAATATGACTGTATGGCAGCTGGTTTGAGAGTAATTCGTACAAAACGACACCATATGCATACACATCGGATTGGAAACTGTAAGGGCTGTCTTCTTGCATACGTATGACCTCAGGGGCCATCCACAATATAGAACCAGATGGTTGTTGAAACTGTTTACCTCCGGACCATCTGGATTTGACGGTGGCTAGCCCAAAGTCTCCTATCTTCACGACCATATCGTGTAGAAATATGTTGTTGCTCTTGAGATCCCTGTGTATTATGCTCTTCGCGTGTAAATAGTCCATACCTTGCGCGGTCTGTCTCGCTATGTCTAATGTTTCTAGCAACGAAAATTTGGCTTCCTGAACGTGGAGATGCCTATAGATGCTCGAGCCCTCGCACCACTGAGTGACAATCGACAGCTGAGGCTTACTAACGTACCCCATGAAGAGAAGAATATTTACATGCCTTGTCTTTCTAAGAACGGCCACTTCGTTTTTGAAGGCTTGCAGTTGAGCCGTTGTAGGATCCCGCACGTTGAGAGTCTTTATCGCGACTGAGCCATGCCAGTGCCCTTTGTAAACGGTCCCAAACGATCCAGACCCGATACGCTGCCCAGTCAGAATTTCATCATTAGGTATTTCCCAGTCTTCTATAGATTCGCGCGGTCCGTCTTTGCTTATCTTTTTGTTGGCGCTCTCATCGGCAGACCTCGCCCGGGGCCTCCACGGCCTGAGGGCGTTGGTCGGCGACGCCTGTGCACTTTGTGAATGAGGTAGTCTGTTACTCGCCAAAGCAGGCACCATACCAGTGAGCCCTGCCAGTTCGTCATAGTTGACATCGTTGTGGCCTAGGCTGACCGTGTTGTAGCATACGTTGGGAGCCGAGCTGGACCGTTCTCCGTGACCGAGAGACCTCGGAGGCCTCCTGGTGGTGGTCCTTGCCATGCCATAATCCGAAGGCATTTGCAGTATCCCTGCAGAAGAAGTCTCAGGCGTCTGCGCAAGAAGCATCTGATAGTAATTGTCAATCATTCTTACTTGTTGGCACAGCGCCGGCACACCACCGGCGCAACGCTGGTGGAAGCGATAACCGCACGTTCGACAGTAAAAACCTTGGAACAACAACCGTCTACAGCACTCACAAAACACTAAAGAGAAAAACGTTTTTCTCACAAAATTATGAGATATACTAGTCGTGACAGGGAACTTGTCTATGATCTCTACTCTTATTTCATCGATGTCCATCGAGGACAGGTCCGCATCCCATGCTATCTGCAAGTCACTGTTCACAGCATAGACGACGCACATCTCCGTCGTCAGATTCCTCAACTTCATGGCTTTGGCGAGGGCGTCGCGCACCGTCTGCCGCGGTTTCACCTGGACGCTCGTCCTCTGCTGGTTTGGCAGGTGGGCCCGGACGACGCTCTTCAGCGAAGGCTGGATGCTCTGGCGGTGGCCCCGGTCGCTGTTGGACAGGGCGAAAAGGTCGTAATCGCCGTCCAACAGCCCTTTCTGGTACGTGATCATCTCGTTGAGGTGCTGCTCCTTCACTTCCAGCTCATGCAGCTTACTAGTCAGCTCCTGGTATTCCGAGAGGTACATCGGCGGAGGGTGCTGCAACCCGGCAAACTTTGCGTTCAGAGCGTCGATGTTCTCTCTCGTCAGGTGTATCACGTTCTGTATGTTCTTCAGTTCGTCCTCCCATGTCTCGATCTCCTCGTACTCAGAAGACATTTTCACGGTCTTGAAAAAAAAAAATAAAAAACGAAAAACTCAAGAGGGCGGCCTTTTTTTCAGTGCCGCTAGCCGATCCGTTTAACGGGCCCGGTCTGTCGGGGTCATCTAGGAAAACGATCCCCACAAAACTTTCATCTAAAAAAAAATAAAAATAAAATAAACTTAGACTAACAGTAGTAGTCGGACAGCGGCGAACAGCCGTCGACTGCCATTGGGGACAGTGTTGCCGAAACTTCTAATGGAATCCTCTCTATTTATACTGAATTTTACCCATTCAATGATACATTCATTTAAAAACACATAGAAAATCATAATTAAAAATATAACTATACTTTCATTTCAATTACTAATTATCATGTAATTTAAAAAAAAAATTAAAACAAATTTTTTTTTAGAACTATTTACCAGAATTTATTTTTAAACCGAAAATATAATCTTATCTTTTAAACATCTAGCTTCTAATTCTTTAATCTATTATGCAAAAATAAATTCGTATTAAAAACATGCTTTAAACAAATGTATGTATCAAAACTAAAATATTTTTCTAATAGAAAAAAAAAAGACAAACGGGTCGAATTTAAATAAATTTGCCAAGGAAAATGGACAGGAGTTTTAAATAATTAAAATGCCGTCACCCAGCCAACCATTAAAATTTAAAACGCTGTTCTAAAATTGTCTTTATTGACATCCCCTAACAGAGTTGATTTTAAAGGTTGTATTCGCAGGTGCTGGTTACATTTCAAAAGACAAACAAAAGTGGGAAAAAATACATTGGAAACTGACAATTTTTAAGATTTTATTCTTTTCGTAAAGTTTCCATGATTGAGAAAATCGCAAAACGTTACAAATGCATTTTAGCAGGCTTGGGCGTCGTTGTGATATTCAACTTGCATCTTTTGTACTCGCTAGCCTACGACGGAAAGAAAATACCTCAGAACGAGGTAGGATTTTTTTATTTAAATTTAATTATAGGATTGTTTAACACGATAAAAAGAAGTCAAAAGACAAGGCTTTGGTAGTCGCATCCTTTGGTGCAGGTCACTCACCCCAAAATTTCCTGCACCATAGGTCCATTCTTGTACCGTCATCCTAGTAGCACCTCGTAGCATGCAGGTATTATACTCAACAGCAGAATTCATTCGACGAGTATTTACAAAGTTGCTCTTTCTGTTCATACGAGAGCATAGGCTATGGAGAGTGAGGAAGAAGCGCTGTCTTCTTAGTATGCTCAAGTATGCTTCATATTGCCCTCAATACTATGCTCATTGCTTTAAAGAAATTTTTGTGGTGTAGCTCTGTGAGCGCTTTCTTCAATACCCTATATTTTTGCACTTTGCCACCAAATCCGATGCACCCACAGTCTCATACTGGCAAGGTCTAGAAAAATACTCCAGCCTCACTGGCGGCATCGATATCCTGCTCGAGGCATGTGCCAACTGGCAACCGGTGGAGAGTTTTGATGGCAACCTCTTATCCTGAGTCATCCTGCCTCTTTACAATCTTAGAGTGATTCACTGGTCACTTGGAAAGGACCCCCTGGAGGATCTCCCACATTCAGCTGGCAAGTTCGAGTCCACCATTGAGTTATTATGGACTTCATGGAGGACCAACATAAACATGTTGTTTATTCATCACTTCCAAGTCTTCATGACTTCATGGACCAGGCGTCACCATCCCCTGTTCCTCTATGGTTGAGTCCGTCACCCTCAGAATATCATCCATCTTGCCTTAGGTCAACCATTCTTTCTTTTGCCTTCCACTTTCCTTAGCATCAGCTTCTTCTCCAGGGTATTCTGACTTCTCTATATTTGGCCAAGGTACTTCAGTTTTGCCTTAATACCATTCCCTCAAGAGAGTGGGCTTTATTTCCTAGAGTATGGACTGGTTTGATCTTCTTGCAGTCTAAGGCACTTTAGAATTTTCCTCCGACACCACAGTTCAAAACCATCTTCCTTTCTTCAGCTTTCCTTATGGTCAAACTCTCACAGCTGTAATTTACTACTGGGAATATCATCGCTTTAGATACAGTGTTATATCCCTGTTCTTAACTATTGTATCAAGATTTTCCATTGCTCTCCTACCAAGAAGTAGACTTCTGATTTTCAGTCAGCATCTGCAGTAATCTTTGTGCCTAAAAACACCAAGTCTATCACTGCCTCCACTTTTTCTCCTCTATTTGTCAGTTATCAATCATATTAAATTATCATCACAGTCTTGTGACCAACTATTTGGGAATGAGTTGGTCTTCAAAGAAATTTAAAATGGTTTGTAAAAATCTTAATTATGTCATTTGAAGACATATATAAAGTTGTTTTGCCCCAATGATGACCTTAAAATAGGTCAAAAGTTTGGCAGTAACAATTGAACTTGCTTTTCCATCTAGAGTATTCGTGAGTTATCAATTAAGCTTTTTGCCATAATCTTGGTTTTTTTGAGGTTTAACTGCATCCTAGCTTTTACACTTTCTTCTTTCACCTTTGTCATAATGATCCTCAGCTCCTCTCCACTTTCAGCCAACAAAGTACTAGCTGAGATTGTTAATGTTTCTTATGTTATTAATGCAATTTTAACCCCAGTCTTGGATTCCTCAAGCACAGCATATGTGTTCTGTGTGTAGATTGAATAGGTTGGGTGAGAGCATACAACCTTGCTGTATTCCTTTCCCAATCTTAAACCAGTCCATTGTTCTATGCTCTGTTCTTACTGTTGCTACTGGTCTTTATACAGATTCATCAGGAGATGAAAAGATGATTTGGTATCTCCATACCACCAAGAACATAGTGTAGACGTTTTTCAGAAACTCCCTGACTTTCTCCATTATTCAGCGGCAGTTTGGTCTCAAGTACCTCTCTCTTTTCTAAATCCAGCTTGTTCTCACTCTATAAATTGCTGGAGTGTCTTAAGGATTACCTTACTGGCATGTGAAATTAGTGCCAATGTTGATTATTTGAACATTCTTTGGTGATTCCCTTTTTTATATGGGGAAATAAGTTAATTTTTTTCCAATGTGATGGTTGCAAGATTTTCACAGTTCAGCTGGTGTACTGTCGTCTCCTGCTGGTATACTGTCCTCGTTAAACAATGCTTCTTAGGGCTCATTGAACCTCACTCTTCAAGATGTCTGACTCATTGATTACACTGTCAAACATACACATAGTATGATGTAAATGAACTTGGTAAACAATCCATTAGAGTTCGTGGTCCGATTGACCAAATAACTTTTTTCAATGAATTATTTGTGTAAGGTATTGGTTGAGATAAAAAAGTCAGTGTCACGAGTGGGATTCGAACCCATGACCTTCGGCTAAATACGCCGCTGCTCTACCATTTGAGCTAACGTGACTTCGATCCACTCTTGATTTCCCATCTCAACCCACCTTTTGAATTTTCCCTCCTTTTTGCCATTTTTCAAATATCATGTAATATATTCGATTCTCGGCAACAAATGAAATGGCCACGGAGAGTTTAGTGAAGATATATTTAATTTTACTTATTAAATCCATTAGAGTTTGTGGTCCGATTGACCATATAACTTTTTTCAATTAATTAATCTTTATCCGACCTCAAGAGGAAATGTCACACTTGGTATCTTTTTTGGTAATGCACTACCTCGTTACTACCATAATAGATGGAATGTAGCTTGAGTTTCAGTTAGTTTTTTTTATTTATAACTGTATTTTGGTTGTTTTTGATTATTACGGCTTAGCCATTGCTGGTTTAATATGTCAGATGTGTATCTTCATCATCTTCAGTGGCCGAAGGGATGAGGGCAAAATGCATCTCACTGGCTGAGTGAGGATAGGCAGACCAAAATGTTCAAAAACAACCAAAGTTTGCAATAAGTTTTGCTCTTGATCTATAAGAATATAATGGATGCCAGCTGCTTTTCTTATTTACTTTGTTAATCTGACCTTAATAGAATATCCTTACTGTTAGATCAGACGTCTTTATAAGCCGTTTTAAGTGTAGTGGTAGTGGTAATTTTTCTATGAATTTTTAAGTTTTAATCAGAAATATTTTGATTTTAGGAAGTTCACAAAAAGCTGCAGGCAGTTGGAAATGGACAGTATGAAAATTCTGCACTGTACATGCAGAACACTTCATTTCAAGCAATGAAAAACATTGAAGCTACGCTGAGTCGTGTATCTCTATTTTTCACTCAAAAGTATTCAACGACATACCACAATTTTTCAACTTTACTTATAAACCGGAGTCTACCGCCTAGAGTCAACCTTTGGCAGGCTGCAGCCAATGTAACTAAACTCTGCTTTTCATTTTTGTAAATATGAAATATGAATGTAAGTAAAAATCAATACAATATAATGTATTGATTTTTAGTGGGTAACACCAACCCAGATAGCGCCAAAATCGTCAACTCTTTTACCTCATGTCCTAAGGGCATTGGAAACTGGTAAAATCCTATCGGCCAATATAACTTCAAAAGGTTCACAACTGAAGCTCCTTCTTATGTATGAGAAAGGTCAGAAGGTTCTCTTCAAGCCAAAATGGTACGAAAGGGACAAAGTGATCCTTGGAAAACCATATGCTGGGAAAGACCGTCACAATGGAGAAATTGCAGCTTTCCACTTGGCCAGGCTGCTTGGCCTAAACAGGGCCCCGATAGTCAGTGGAAGAATAGTAAATCTCAAAGAGGATATCTTGCCTGTAGCAACATACGATCTCAGTCGAACATTTTATAAAAACGGTTATTATAGCACATTTTCATTATAATTTTACCACAGATTTTCTTAATATGATTTTTTCAGGTAGTAATACATGCTTTTATGGGGTTTGCTTATATTGTAAACCAACTGATGGAGTTTGCGCAGATGGAGCCTTATTAGAAGGATCTGTGACATTGTGGCTGCCCGAACACTGGAAACTCGTTCGACTACGACACCCCTGGCAGAGAAGCTACACATCCTCGTTTGCTACGTAATGTACGATTTAGGTACGCGGTGCACTTTGATTTTAACAAGATTTTTGTTTTCAAATTTTCAGCTGGGAGCTTTACACAGACTACTGTTCAGTAATTAGAAAATCAAAGATGTACAAGGACGAAGATAAGATTTTAGATTTGATTGAAATATCAGTTTTTGATTTTCTCATCGGCAACGGGGATAGGCATCACTATGAAATGTTTGAAGCAAAAGGCAGCAAAGCTTTACTTATCGACAATGGGAAAAGGTAAAAAGAAAATTTTTCAACAAACCTCAATATCACAGCAAAAACTGAATTTAGACGAAACAAATTTTGCCAAAAGTTGTCAAACCGCTTATTTGATAGGGCTACTTGCGCATTGAACTATTTAAATAAATTGATAATGTTCAAACATCATAAAAAAAAAAATTGTAAAAAAAATGGGAACCTTTTCCATCAATTGTTGGGCGGCTCAGGTTTTCCCTGGGGTAGTGGACTCCTTGGCTGTTTTTGCATTGTCGCCTGATACTCTCAATAATACAGATCCTGTGAGCTGATTGCCACAGAAACAAAAGCCACAATAAATAAATTAAAAAAGTAAATAAATAAAATAAAAATTTAAAATATTAATAATTTTCTAGCTTTGGTAATCCTCATGTTGATTTCATCGACACATTGGCCCCTCTCTACCAGTGTTGCAGGTAATGTGAATAAAACTACCTCATATTTATAAAACATAATCCGGTAAATTTCTAGGATAAGAGAAGAATTTGTGTCGGTCCTAGCATCACTACGAGACGGACAGCTCAGCAATTGGCTTGAAGTGTTGCTCTCGTCGAGCCCGCTCAGCCCGGTTTTGACCAAAGAGCACTTTGAAGCCCTCGACAGAAGGGTCAACATCGTCTTGGCAGCGATCTTATACTGCATAAATGAAAAAGGCGAAGAAGAAGTTCTGGTTACAGGATTATGACTTCGTATATTTTTAACGTACAATTTTTTATTTTTATTTTTTTTACGACTGATCACCTTTAATAACATCAGTGATATTGTTAAAACTCAATTTTTTAAATTCTTAATTGAAGTATTTTTATAATTGTTAATTTTGTACATTATTCTCTTATTAAATAGTCAAATAAATTTGAGAAAAAAATATTGTGCCTTAAATACTGTCAATTCAATCTAGTCAAAGGGTTAGAAATATTTGATTACTTATTACAATGTAATTAACACATATTTTTAAACCTATCTCGATGTTTCTAGTGCTAGATTTGTTTCAAAATTGTAAACAGCACCTTGTGCTATTTTAATGTCTTTAGATCGCAAATATATGACACTGTGATCGTACTCCTGTGATGTATACATAATTTTTCCCATGATTAAATAACTAATGAATGTTGTTATTGTTGTCAACCTACTGATATCATAGAGCTTAGTATAAGTTTAAACATATGTTTTTTATGGTATGTTGTAAAGATATTAATAAAATGATTTTATTTATTTTATTTTTTAATATCCCTTAAAAAAATAATTTTTAAATAATTGAATTTCATGGTCAATGGAATAAAAAAGTAAGTTGAAAAGTGCAGTTGTTCTTCTGGGAAAAGCATGGCCAGCATCACTTGAAATTTTAGTTAATTAATATTTGAAACATTTTTTGAACTTTATTTATTAAACAGCATGTTTTTAACTTAATTTGTTGACACATTTCAATTATGTTTACTTTGTTTTCTTGTTTCTGAGTAATTTCTGAGCTAGTTATTGTGCTATCAGTTCATTTGTAAAAATGATTATTGATTTTTAGTTCTAAAGAATGAAAATGATTTTGTTAAATGATATGTAATTATTTTGTTGGAGCAGATTGAATAAATTCCTCAGTAATACTGTTGGAGAAAAAATCTCAACGAGGTCTTATAAGCCAAATTGGTTTATTGTGTTTTCCTAGATATATCACACCTTAAAAGAATCAGGTAGAACATTTTATACACAGATACTTAAAAGTTCAGTTGTTTCTAGGGAATATTGGAGTGGGTGTTCCCCAGTTTCTGTGTTGGCTCCAACACTATTTAGAATCTTTTTAAACCCCATTAAAATTATCACTTAGTGGACTGTTTGCAGATGAACATTACGTTTGTAGGAGCCTTTTACCAAATTGTTATTAAATTTAGAATTAGGTTTGGCAAAGTCGTTTCAAAGTTATCACTATTTCTGTGATATTCAGTTTGTGATCAATATTCTTCATCATCCCAATTATCGACTGCTCAAAAGTGAATAGGGATATTTGTAATTTATTCTTATTCTATTAATTTTAATTAAATTAACCAATATATTCTTGTCAGTTAGATAAAACAAAATAGAAAATACACACCCAAAACAAACAAATGTTAATCCACATTTTTAATAATGGATTTACTTAAGAATAGTAAACATGAAGATTATTCATTTTGTAAACAAACACCTATTCTCGTATTTTCTTCATTCTAATTCAGTTGTATTCTCTTAAAACAAGGAAAGACATCACGAACAAGAAGTTCACAATATTATTGCGAGAATAAGTCATGGAGGTCACCGGCAAGTGGATATCGCAGAGGAAGTTGATTTTCTCAGAGCATGGTTTCCCAGGCTTTAGAACGATTCTGAGGGACTGGAAATGCCAATAGGAGGCCTGATAGTGGATCTCAGCGCTTTACGACGCTAAGGGAGGACAGAAATATTGCCATTGCTGCGAGACAGAACCCTTTCTTTCCATGGTGCCCGCCAGATCCTAAATGAAGTACAAAATGGTTTGGCAAAGCCTTCATCAACCAAAGTATTCGTAATAGTTTGTGGGGAGTTGGCCTCACAACGTATGCCCCTTTGAGACAACCTTTAGCAACAGCCTGCCACCAGTAACTAAGGAGAATATGGTACACGCTTTCCCATATACTCAGTCGTCCTTAAAAGGACAATGAGGATCTTTAACGTCCACACCTAGCCTATTCGGCCTTATCTGACGTTTTGATTCTCAAGATGAGAGCTGATGCATCTCCAGATACGACAGAATGGTGTTACTGCCTCAGCATCGGTTTTGAGGCAGCTCAGCCCTGAAGGCCCAAGACAACCTCGCTCCCCACTTGCCCATTCCAAGTGATTGGGTCTGCATTAAGCATCAAACCGTATGCCGCGTGCATAGGGCTACCTAAGCCGAAATACATCAGCCCTAACCATCCCCGAATATGGTACAGCAAGCACCTAGAAGGGAACACCAATTGAAATGCTGTTATTTTTACTGTTGATTCGCGTTTCTGTCTCTATAGTAATGGTCTGGGCTGGGATTTACACTGGAGAATGAACTGGACTATATATAGTTGAAGAAATTATCAAGGAATACACCTCTCAAACCAGGGATCTCATTGGCAGGTTTTATCGATTTTTGGATGGCAATGCCAGACCTAATAGGGGCAGAGTTGTTCATCAATGTTTACAAATGTTTATAACCTAACCAATGTTTAAAAACCTGGCAATTTCCCATCTGCCCCTACTCCCATTGTCTCCAGACTTCAATCTCATTGAGCACATGTGGGATGCATTGCATAGAAGGTTTTTCGACCACCATCCATAGCCAGTTGACCAGCAACAACTGAGGGCACTGCTGCAACATCAATGGAGTGGTATGCCTAACAGGTGCACAGAGGTTTTAGCCGATAGAGGACATTATAGAAGGTATTAATTTAAAAAAAAATTACTATATTCAATAAATAAAACTATGGAATTACCTCCTTTTATTTTATTTTTCTAAATCTCTTAATTAGAAAGCACTCTTCAGTAAAAAAAAACTAATTTCTAATAAAATTTAATGCAATTGGAATATTGCAAATAAAGGCTACAAAATTGGCTATATTCCTATTCATTTTTGAGCAGTATTTGTACTCGCTCAAAGTGTTTGTTTACTGTGAAAACACTTTGAGTGAATACAAATACTTTGATTGAGTCTAAAATTTCTACCATGTATAAATTCATTTTTTCACATCTTACATGCATTTGTGTAATTTAAACAATGTTTATAAATCCCAGGCCCTGAAGATGATCTCAATAAAGATCGAAACGTTGGCCCGATAAAGAAAATGTTTTTCTAAACCTTCGTCACACCAGGCTGCATCTCACGATTTCCAAATAATCATTAATTAACGATCACTAAACACCACACATAAAACTTATTATTCAATTTACAGTAATTAGGTAGTAGGTATATATTTGAAAGCTCTATTACATCATTTTTTTAAAATAATCTTTTACAAAATAACTGTATAACACTATGGATTACAACCGTCTGCCGGATGTTAGGAAGATAATGGGTAAGAAATAAATTGTCTTTTCCATAGTGACAAAATAATAAAAGTAAATTATATACTAACTTGGACCCCTTTTGTTATTTGTTATGGTCACTGAAGATGGTCTATATTAGGCTGAAACGCGTCTGAAGAAATAAATGCCTATTGTGGAAAAAATAATTTATTTCCTACTCATCATCTTATGAAATTTGACAAAATAACGATGGACACCTCAAAAAATTAACAATTGTTAGGCATATTTATGTTCATTAACAGTTTTATCAATTCTAAATGAAATTGGCGTGTTTTAATTATTTTATCAATTATTAGTTTGTGGCATGAAGAATTATATAAGGACAATACTAGTCTTATAGGTCTGTTTTCCTTGTGAATTTTGACCATACCGTAACATTGGTGGCTTTGGGTATACATTTTTTACTGCATATTGATCATTTGAGAATAAAAGTCACTATTTTTTTATATCTGTTTTAACTTTAGTTTTTAATTTTAAGGTGGAGTCTTTTTTTAATTTCTTTACAATCATTATTGTGCAGGGATTCTACTTTAGAAACATATTTATGTTGTTTAATGGATAACTAAACTATTCCCTTTATTTGCTTTTAAAATAACACTGTTACTTTTTAATTTTTCATGAATAGAACTAAATTTTTTAAAATGATATTTGTTGATCGATCTGCAGATAATCTATGTGGAGTTTTAATCTTCATGGAGGTCAGTAGATAGGTAAAGAAAGGAAAAGACTAATTGCTGGGTTCACCAAGTTTTCGGCAACTTAGCTTAACTTAGTGCCATCATCAGGGCTTTCCCAATAGTACAGAAAACGCTTAACGTGGTAAAACTATTGTAAAAACATCTTGGGTTTAAGGTTATGAAGCACATGGCCAGCCAATTACATTAAACTTGGTGGAAACACTCTTCTCGCTAATAATAATCCATATGATTATGGCTTCAACAATTTTGTTCTGACTAGCAATTTATGTTATTATAATATATCTATAGGTAACATTTATGATCACAGAGTATTTTGACTAGAATTATGCTATTTATAAAGACTGTACATAGGACATAGGATTAAAATTAATAAGACTGAGAGAGAGGGACAAACACCGTCGCACACACAGAATGGACTGTTATGAAGAGAGTGTCATCAGCGTAGAGACAAAATTGGGAGAAATTAAGTACTAATGTAAGATCATTTAGAAACATGGAAAAGAGTAAACAATCAAGAATAGAGCCTTGGGGTAAATTGAGAGAGAAGAGGAGATAAAATTTGAAACTTTAACTCTCCGAGTTCTGTCAGACAGCTAGGAGGAAATGAGATTAGTAGCAGTAGAAGAAAAACCAAAAAATGCGTCAGTTTTCAAATAAGCATTGGGAAAATCAAGTAGAACAATAATAGTACACTTATTATGATCAATTCCTAGGCGAATACCATCCGAGATTTTGAGGAGGGCTGCCTCACAACTATGAAATTTTCGGAAGCCAGATTGAAAAGATTGGGATAGAAGGATGTGGAAGTCAATAAATAAGGAGATTATATCGTTGACACCATGTTAAAGTGACGAATATGGATTTCTCCACTTTTCACATTCGTCACTCTAACATGGTGTCAACGATATTTTCTACCCGTTCCGGTAAGGATTAGAAATGTTTGTGTTATCTTTGATAATTGATAGACATGGTAATAGATAGAGAAATATTCAAATTTGACAGGTTCAAGCATTGATAAATCCATTATGTTTAGTGGTCTAATTGGCCAAATTACTTGTTTCAATTACTTTTTCTTTTTATATATGGTCTTGGATGAGTTGAAAAAGTTAGTGTCATGAGCGGGATTTGAGCCCATGACCTTCGGCTTAATACGCTGCTGCTGTAATCAATAATTTTTGGTGGGTTCGAATCCCACTCAGCCACTAACTTTTTCATCTCAACTAAGACCTTACATAAAGAAAATAATCTATTGATAAATGTTAAAAAGTTAATATGATATGAACTGAAGATGTCCTTTTCTTACAAAGGCCATGCTCCAGTATATTATTTATAGTTTGTTGGTTGTTTGAAGATCAAGGCTTCAATTTATTCTGTAGAATTTTGACCGGTTTTGTTGTTAGTGGGAATGTGGGTTTCAGGGAAGGCGGCGAGATGGCGTTGGAATGTCGGAGTGGGCTC